GGGCCCATGGACTTGTGGGTGTCCAGCTTCCTTAAAAGATCCCTAACCTGACCCACATCGACAGAGGGAAGGTCGTCCTTTCTCCAAGCTTGCTCGCTTACCTGCCAGGACTGGGGAGCCTGAGGGCCAGCCTCGACAGTGAAGACTGAAGCAAAGAAGGCATTCAGTAGCTCCGCCTTCTCTGTATCTTCTGTCACCAGGGCACCCATTTCATTCAGCAGCGGTCCCACATTACCCCTGGTCTTACGTTTACTGCTGACATACTTGAAGAAGCCCTTCTTGTTATCCTTGATGTCCTTTGCCAGACTTAGTTCCAGGTGAACCTTGGCCTTTCTTGTTGCTTCCCTACATGCTCTGGCAGCATTCCTGTATGCCTCCCAAGTGGCCTGACCCTCTTTCCACATTCCATGGAGCTTACTCTTTTCTTTGAGTTTCACTAGGAGCTCCTTGTTCATCCATGCAGGCCTCTTACGTCGTTTACTTGATTTCCTACGCACAGGGATCCACTGGTCCTGAGCACAGAGGAAGAGCTGCTTAAACAGAAGCCAGCTCTCCTGGACTCCCCTACCTTTGAGAGCCATAGCCCATGGAATTCTTCCAAGTAGGTCCCTGAGGAGGCCAAAGTTTGCTCTACTAAAGTCCAGTGTGGTAGTCCTACTTGTTGTTCTGCTTCCCCCTCTCAGAATCCGGAACTCCACCATCTCGTGGTCACTGCAGCCAAGCCTGCCCCCTACCTTCACATCCTCAACCAATTCTTCTTTATTTGCCAGCACGAGTCCTCTATGAGGACTGTCACAGATTTAATCAGTTGCCCGGTTACTCCAAAAGAAGAGTGTTCTTTTGTCTATAATGAAGCACTTTTGTACAAAACATGGTGGAGTCCAGAGTGAACCTGAACCAGTTCAATCCTTCACACCTACCAACTCGTGAGCAGGCAAATTAAGAACTACCAATACTCACTGTAAGGGAATTGTCTTCAAGGAGGTGTAGGTGCCTTGGCTGTGATTGCAGGTGGGTCTGTAAGTTTTCCAGATGCTCTGGTAACACACCGCTCAATATTACATAGGGCAGTGAAGTCATTTGGACAGAGTTGCACTCTCATCACACTTCGTGCCGAGGAGTATGTCCTGACATCTGTAAACAGTGTTGTCATTGCTGAACTGGTGGTCATGTTCCTTGAAGGACTGAAGAAGAGATCACGATTCGCTGTGGCAATGAATGAGAAAAAATCCCAAGGTAAGTCTTATGACCTTTCTACAGGATAGGGAAGAAATCTTGAAAGAACCCACAGCACTTGTTTGAAAGAGCTCAAAGAGGGAGAACTTCAGCAACAAGAGTCCCTTTGCTCCAGGAGGGATGCATAGTGATCAGCACAGCAATGCAGAACACAAGGCAATGTGATTCAACACCTTTGCATACAGATTACCTTTCCTTCCTTCTTCTACTTCACATATTTTACTTAGATAGTAGACTGTCCAACAATTCAGCCTTCTTATAGTAGAAAGTTGGATCTGAGCTCCCTGGAAATACTTTCCAGAAAAATTTCACAGAGGTGGTAAACAGGAATTTTCTGTGGAATATAGTTGGCTGGAACAGACAAGAGGGGATTAAAGTATAAGCATTAACTTCACCTACTTACAACTACTGAGTTCCTTTCCATGCTTTGCTGCCAGTTCTAGACACAAAGTCAGCACCCATAAAGCAAATGGAATTTTGTCATTGTCCTCAGTGGATCAAAATCAGGCTGTCAGAGGAAATTTAAGTGATTTCTCTGAAGCATCACTGGAAAATTAGCCGTATTTACGCAAATCACTTTCCATTGCTAATTGAATTCAGGCCTTCAAAATACAATTCCCTTGTCTTTCATGTTGCAATCCCTTTGCATTTTCTTGGACTGTCAAGCCTTAACAGTACTCCCTTATTCCATTTTCCAGAAGACCCTGCCATCCTGTCCTTCAAGAAGGGAGACTTGCTAATCTTCACCGAAGACAAAAGGCTGGATGCAAACTCTGGCTGGATTTGTGCCCAGAATGAAAGGACAGGCAAAACAGGAAATGTATTTTTGGAAGAGATCTACATCATTCCTTCTCTCACAAAACCTTCTAGTCAAGTTCTGGTAAGAAAAGCTGAGCAGTTTCTTTGAAAAGACTGGAAGATAAATGATAACAACAGTGTTAAATATGATTAAATTTATAACTGGAAGTTAATTGTTCCTCCAAAGTCAGACAAGTTCTATACCTCCCATTGAAGCAAAGCATTTCATGCTGTCCTGTCTGAAAACAAAACTAAACCTAGCCCAAACTCTAAGGAAAAGACAGACTGCAGTTGCACAAAAGCAATGCCTTTCAAAAAAATGGCCTGTTCACCCTTAGGGATTTCAGTGCCTGAAATTGGTAGCAATTAATGGAAATCAGTGTGCTGTTGAATTTTCCTGCATTCACACTGGGTTTGATTGGTGATCATACATTACGGCTCAAGGGAAGCTCTAAGTGCAGCAGGCTATTTTAAAAGAATATGCTCTTTGAGGGACGCAAGGTTTCTCATTGATCACTCTGCTAACAATTTTATCTTTAGTTTTGGAGACTAAAGTCTGGAGTTTAGTATATTGTATGCAGTGCTAACAAGTAAAAAGCTGAAAAAGTGAGGGAAAACCACAGCAGGATAAGCAGTTGCATTTTTAACAAGTGTTGTCCTTTGCATAATCACATACATTTTGATGGTCACTACTGTTGCATCTATGGAAATTACTTCTTTGAGTTGACTACTCCCAAGTCTTTCCTGAGTCTCTGAAGAAGAAGATTAAGGGGACAGAAGATCTCCTGCAGCACAGAGCACTCAAGCTTAGTATACACCATCTGCACATACATGCTGAATAACATCTGACAATATGTGCAGAGACCTGTGTCCATGTGACATCTCTATGTGGCCATGTCATTCCAGAGTTTGCTGATGATGTCTCCAGACCAGAGGAGGACAGCTTCACAGAACTCCTATGTGGATGAACCTGATGAAGAGGATCTCACAGTGAAGCCTTACACCCTGGAGGAGTTCTCCTATGAACACTTCAGGTGAAGCTCTCTGTATAGTGTGCACCCTAGGAAAATTCCAGTTGATCTTTAGCGATCCCTAAAGCCTAGGATGTAACAGCATCTCCCATTTCTGATTGGGTTTCTTCTCTTTGTTTCCTGTAATGAAGTATGACTTTGGACATGCCAGAGATTCTGGCACATGGCCTGCTTGTATCTTTTGTCTGCAGAAATGCAAAGGGAAGGGTAGAAGAAGCCCAGTTGGACTTTTTTTCTTTTCTTTCCAGCAGGCCCTATTCTTAATTCTCAACCCTTCTAGCTAGCTAGGGTACACAACATCTCAGGCCTCAGAAAGTAAGGGAAAAATTATTCTCCTAAAATCTCTCTTTTTTTTGCAAGCTTTCTCCCTTCTGTGTCTAAAATAATACGTATTTTCCTGTTCTTGTTGATCTGCATAATCAAAGGAGATACAAGATCTTGGGAAAGAACATGTCTATAGACAAGCCTATGTGATAATGACCTCCTATGTTCATAGCAATACTGGTCCAATAATTTTGTATTGCCTTTACTTGTCTTCTTTCAGGACTCCTGAGAAGGAATCCATCAGCAAAGCTGTTCTCCAGAAATCCCGCGGGCGCAGTCAGCTGTGGGCACACTCTAAGGAGCCCCTGAAACAGCCCTTGCTAAAGACAGCATGCACGGACCCTGATCTTCGGGATTTGGCTTGTCAGGCCTTCATTGATATCCTTTCACTCTTCTCTTTAGGACCTGAGAACATTCATGGGAAGGAAGAGCTAGCTACCTCCACTAAAGTCACCTCCATTGAGATAATAATGCACCCATATTACAGGGGATACCCCCCACCATGATGTAAACGTATCAATTCTGCACAACTTAGCATTGTTTCCCTTGTCTACAGAGAAAAGGTTTCTATTCCCTCCCAATGCTCCACAACTCCCGATGGCTCACTTAACTGAGAACATGGCTTTAACAGCAAGTGAGATTTACTGTATATGCCCAGAGCAAGCAGCTAATACAGTACAAATCACAGCCAAGCAGTGACTGCTGCACAGGGAAAGGGTGTAGGAGACAGGCAGGGAATATGTTCCAGACCTGCTTCCCAGTATTTGCCACTTAGACTATCAACAGAGTCACAAACATGTTAGGATGCAGATCAGACTTCCCATTTACCTTCCAAAATTGGCCTGCTTTTGTCCTTAACAGCACATTCACCCATCATGAAATTCATGGGAGACTATCCCTCAAAACAGGCACACTCCTCTGTGGAAGTCACTGACCAGATATTTATAGCAGCTATCCAGGAGGAGGTTCTGCGGGATGAGATTTACTGTCAGATTATGAAGCAACTGACTGACAACAAAAACAGGTACTCACCCATGTGCAAACACCCTCCTTCTGCAGAGCCAGGGCTCAAGTGTAGGTGGTAAGCAGGAATCCCTGCTACACCTGTGATGGGGTGGGGGCAGAGGGGAAGGGTGGCCAAATGTTGGAGTGAGACCTTCCCTTCCCCCTTTTTCCAGGCAGTGCTGTGGGGCTCGCCTTTGCAGAGCACTCAGGACCACTAACTGACAGCAACAGGCTGTGGAGCAGGTCCCTCGCTCGTCTCCCTTGAGCTGCTGCTTTGCTCCCATCAGCATTCGCTGCTCGTCTCTGTGCAGTATGGTGTGAGGCAGGGAAGGTGTTGCTGAAGCCCTCTCACTCCCGAGGCAGTCTGTGGGGAAAATATGGCACTGCCTAGAGCTCTTCCATGCTTTCAGTGATTGCACTGCCAGCCCTCCATTTCTTTTAAGTTTTCCAATGACAGTATTTCCCTCCTATAAGCACATAGTTAACACTAGATCGTTTACTACCAGTGAATCTTTTTAAGTAGTTATATTAATTAGGTTACACAGCTGGCCTGCAGAACAGATTGGTTACACAGGCCCCTGTCTGTGCATAAGTCTCTGAAACAGGCTGGTGTTTGCTTCCCCACTCATAAAATTATCATTTGACCTACTTACAGGGGAAAGAAATTGCAAAAAGAAGCTTAAAATAATACTAATTATTAAGAAATTGTTTGTCTGTTTCTAGCTGCATTGTATCACTGAAAAAGTTAGAGAAGGATTTTCTATTTTTTTATTTTGTTTCTTACTGTTCCACAAATATTAAACTTAGTGGAGCTTTTACCATGTGTGTAACTATAAAATGGTAAATTTCCTTGCCTGCAGTAAATCTTACAGGCTATTTAACACATAGTCTGTAACCATGGTGCCAGTGCCATGCCTGATGTACTCTACCAATTTAGTCTTGTGGGTCATTCACTGTTTTGAGAGGGATCACTGGTGTGGAAAAAACAATGCTTGAAAGGTGGCTATTTCCATATATATTCATTTGAACAGCCAGAGCCACAAACCTTTCATCCTTCCCAGGCTACTGCCCTGTGGACCATGTCACACTTTCACACAGACACAAACACCACTGATCTATAGACTATAAATGGGATTAAAATAGTGTGTCTTCATCTGCAAAATTAGAACAGTAAATGGGAATAAAGAAGCCAGGACCCCTTTATTCAGCAGACTCTGGTGCCCACTGAAAGGTAGACCTGCTGGCTTTCCCAGTTGAAACCACTTCACACTATTTAGCGTTTCAGAGTAATCCCTGGGACACAGCTGAAGTGTGTTCTGCTCCTGGCTTTGAAGGTAGAATGACTGACCACCTCCTGGCTGCAGAGCCTTTCTTACTGCTGAGGATGAAATGCCAGAAGAGCTTAATCTGGCAGATTTCACAGGTCCAGAGGCTTTCTGCCTGAAAACTGTACAAACCTGATCTGGAGTTTTGAAGAACTGTAACTACCTCATTACACAATGCCACCTACCTGCTCATTTTTCAGAGCAGGAACACACATAAAGGAAAGTAAATTACAAGCAAAGTGCTTGTGCTCTGAGCAATGCTGGCTAGCACAGAAGGCAGGTGAATACAAACAGCTGATAAAGCACAATCCAAGTACATGGGATCTTGAACAGCAAATTGACAGTGGCTTTCCAAGAGGAATGGACCAGGGTCACTGCTGCCTAGATGACTGTTAAACTGGAGCTTATATTTATTCATGAGATTTAAAACTGTCATGAATATTTATCAGCCAGGATTTAGCATTGTCTTTGCATACGGGCTGTGGCCATTGCACAGAAAACGGCTGCCAGATCCTGTGTGAAGGCTCTGTTGATTTGCAGCTCTCTGCTGAATGGCACAACATACCACGATGGGAATATGTTTCTCTTCCCTGTGGCTGGTGTGTGGTCAAACAAAGAATTCTATGTGGCTGTAGCAGAACCACTTGCTTTGTGTTCACAGGTACAGCGTGACCAAGGGCTGGCAGCTCCTTTGGCTCTGCACTGGCCTGTTCCCACCCAGCAAGTCGCTGCTGAAACATGCCCAGAAGTTCATGGAGACACGTCAGAAAGAGACACTGGCCCTGGAGTGCAGTCGGAGGATTCAGACAGTGATGAGGTAAACAGTCCAGTATATAACCAGCTCAAAGTGTTAAAAAATCATGAATCGGGTGCCAAAAAGCAAATGGACTAGAATATTGAGACTCTTACTTTCCTATCTCTCTTTACATCCTTTTTTTAAAGTGATCATTATTTTTAATTCTCTTGTGGACTTTGAACCAGTAAAAGAGGTTTGTGTCAAAGTTTCACTTTTTTCTTTCACAGAGTTAGCAACATTTTAAAAAGTTCAGCATCACACATAATCACTTGACTCCCAGAGCTGGGTATTTCAAACATCCTAAAGGGCATGCAGCTTGGTATGAAATCCTGTGTTGTCATTAATGAGGTCCTGACCTTGCTTTCCTGTGGTGAGGCAGCATATCCTTATACCCCTTACATGTGCCTCAGGATTAGTCTTGAGTTTGTTGAATCTCAATAGCACAGAGCTGCACATGTGCAGCTAAAAATACTAGGGTTTACTCATAGTGGGGTGGCACCACTGAAGTCACTGTCATCTGCACAGTGCTGATGTGGCTCTGTTGGTTCTCTAATGGTGAAGCAAAGCAGATCCATGCTAGGAAGACAGGATCAACACAGTCATTTCCTGTTCTTTGAAGAAATCCAAATGAGCAAAGCCCTGAGACTTAAATGGCTGCTCACAACAGAGCACTTCTCAGTCCTCTAGGCATTACCCCTGTCCTGGTGAGGGTTGAAGCAATAGAGCCTCCAGCCCACAGTGCTTCCCAAGCTTCTGAATGACTTGGTGTAATGAACTTGACATGACCTGAAGAGTGGAAGGGCTACCTGGTTTTCAGGAAGGATCAACTGAACTGTAGGGGGGTTTCTCTAGATTCCTCCAGACACTAGAACTACCCAGACTGACACTCTGAGAACACAGTGCTTTGGTATCAAGGTTAACCCCAGCCTTGTCCCTTTTGATGCTGCTGTGAGTTACCACCTGCCTGACACAGACCTCTTCAGTAAAGAAGCTGCCCAGTGATTTCTCCCTCCAGCTCCTCCATCCTCCCCCTTCTCTTAGGCTGGTCCCTGCATTTGGTCTATGAGCCATGTGGGCCAGGCTCAAGGGGAATGGTAACACAGTGGCTGCCCCCCTTGAAGTGGATGGGTTTTGGCACTGCTGGGGAAATGTCACTGCACATTGAACTTGCCTTTGAAGTGCCTGAAAAATGCATGGCGAGGAATGCTATTCATTGTTTTTTTCTACGGAGAAGACTGAAAATTCCCTGCCTCCCCGTATCATGTGCTATTCATGCTTTAAGCCCTGTTGAGCTGTACAGAGCTGCTTTAGAGTAGGGAAACAGGGAGGGGAAAGCAGAATAGGCTGTTTGGGAGGAGAATTCTATCTGCTAAACTGCTCCAGATCTGGAGCCTGGAGGATGGGAAAAGGAACAAAGACAAATGTTGTTTCCTAAGAGCATTTAGTTTCCTAAGACTACACCTGCACCTACTTTGAACAGAACAGAATAGAATAGAATAATTTCAGTTGGAAGGGACCTGCAACAATCATCTAGTCCAACTTCCCCCTGTATGTAACCTGCTGTTTTTGGAAAGGGGAGAGCAGGCAGCTCAAAGGACTGACCTACAATACGTGGAGTAGAAGCCAACTGAGCCCTTGGGTACACCTTTTACTCCATAAACAGCTTTACAGCTTCATCCCCAGCCTCCTGGCCAGGGAACCAGTGAGCACCCTGACAGGTGTTAAGCAAATTTTGCCTTGGCAATGAACGCTGAGCTGAGGCTGCAAGGAGAGATGGCCCTGTGCCTCCAGCTGCACTTCCCTGGTCTCCTCTGGCCTCCCTCTGCTCCAAGTCCAGGAATAGATGACTGTGTAGGGCAGGTCCACACTCCTTACAGTGCCTGTACAGTACCAGAGCACACGCTGTTCAACTTGGTTTACAGTCAGGTTCTCCTTCTCCAAATGGAACTGCTACTTTATTTAATGGAAAAAAAATTAGTTTTCAAATCCACATGACTACAGCTGGATGCTAGACTAAGCTCTCTTCCTGAGAGACTGGCCCAGTGTGAGAGGGGAATTTGGCCCATAAGCTGCAGTGTACAAAATCTCCAGACAGCCTGCTCTATGCCACTGAGGGCAGGAAAATACCAGCCCCAGAAGGTAATGTGCTAGATTTGTTCTCACTTTAACTGTATCAACATTTTTGTATGACTCGGACTTCAGGGCCAGTTCCTTTGCTTTAAAAGGCAGCTCTGCTCTGAGGTATAATTTCAAAGAACTGGGATTGTACAGCATAAGCACCTCTCGAGTCAGTGATTATACGCCAGCTCTTTTATATACATAAAAAAATATTTTTTTTTTACGTGTATATACATGTGTAACATGCTTCTAGTGGCCCTCCAAACTTTTCTAGTACTTACCTCCTGAGCTGTAACTCATTTTGTATCTCAATGCATATCTTTTTGCTCATGCAAGAATTAAATAAAGTGTGTTTCTCCTTGTGGCTATCTTCACACTTCAATAACAGTAAGGAAAAATCTCACTAAATACATAGAAGGGGTGATAGTACTGGCTAGGAAGGTGCCTTATTCATGCAACCTCCTTGCAGAGTAGAACAGACTTTTACTATACATGCTAATAAGACCCTCAGTTTCTTGCTGTTAATTCATATTAATGCTGTTAATTTGCATTGGGCTGAAGATCCATTAAAGCCTGCTCCGCATCACAGTGCTAGCATTTTGGATGGAGTCTGTTGTTTGGATGGAATACTGTTGTTCAACTCCTCTAAGATTAAACATCCAGCACTGATCTCTCTTATGATGGTGGTGGCATTTTCCAGGAGCGGCTCCAGGAAGTGGGCACCTCATCCTGTGGAGGTTGAGGCTATCTTACAGAACAACACTAAGGTCTCACACAAGATTTGCTTCCCTAATGAAACAGAACAGGTGAGAACTTACTTTCCCAGCCTTGACCATTTTCCCAGCCATGATGTGTTCATGCAGGAGCACGTTTCAAGACATTCCGTGTTCTCATTTCTTCCTCTCCTCTGTGTAACAAGAGTCTTGTTATCTCATAGACATTTGACGTGGGAACAAACACCAAAATCCGGACTCTGTGTCAGAACATTGCTTCCAAACTGCAGCTGAGCTCCTGGGAAGGTTTCAGCCTCTTTGTGAAGATTGCAGACAAGGTAACTCTTCTTGACTATGGCAGGGCAGCCAGACTCCTCCCTCCTCTCTTACTCATTTACCAGACCACCTAAACAACCCTATACAAAGCCAAGCAACAGAGCAGGTCATTACTGCTTCTGTCTTACTGAAGGGATACAACCTAGACTTGAAGTTTTAGCACCTGACAACCCTTGAAGGGGCTGGATGGAGATGCAGAGTTTCTACCAGCTTACCAGTACACAGGTGGTTGCATACTGCTGGATTCAGCCCTCTTCCACTCAGGCTTTGCCCAGGACATGTGCTACACATGTACAGTACCCTCTAGTATTAGGGAGAGTAGTGGCTGACCAGCACCAGTTGATTGCTTTCTAGTTTAGAGGAAGCTTGGGCTGGCTTGCCTTGCTGAGAGGTCCCTTATCTCTGGAACTGTGATAAAGGCAAAAGCAGCACTGAGTCTAAGCACAGGGAGTTTCTGATGTGCTGCATTCATGAAAAGAGGAACCCAGTATGTGCCAAGATTTTACAAAGAGGAGGTGGCTAAGAATAAGGTAGGCATCTTCAGCTTGACTTCAATAAGCAGGTTGGAAAGAAAAAAGCAACAGAAGATGCAGTAAAAATCCCCACACAACATTTAAATCATTTGAGCCTTCCCCCTCCTGTTTCTCTACTTCTTTCCCCTTGCCTCTGTCTTTCCTGCCATAATAGTGCTCTCTCACTGTAGACAGGGAAGGAAAATTGAGCCTGATACTTGGGTATGTTGCCACAGGCAGTATTTTTTATGATCTACTAATCCCTCCTTTCCCCCCTTCATTGCTTGGCCTCTTTCAGGTGATCAGTCAGAATGAAGCAGACTACTTCTTTGACTCACTAAGGCAGGTGACAGACTGGAACAGGAGGAACAAACCAGGGAAAGATGGTAAGAATGCCAGCATGACAAGAAGCTGCATAAGATGCTGTGTCGAACTGGGGAAACCGCAAATTTATCCAGTAGAATTTACTCCATCTTGGGAAGCATGTGGCAGAGCCTTATAACAATTCTGTTTGTACATATACGGTTACTGCCTGCACCATCAGTAAGATCCAGTGACCTGACGCAGCCAAGCACTGGCTATCAGAAACATGAGAACATCTTTGTGGGGGGATCTCCCCAGATATTTTAAATTGGTACCAAAGATTTTTTTTACCTGTTACATCCAAAACACACAGCTGGATGCACAAAAGTTAGATAGGTTCATCCTCTGTACAGTTCCAGGCTCATGCATTGCCGGATCAGGTATCAGCCAACACATGTAAATAGGTTCTTTACACAGTGTCACTCCCATGCCTTGGGTTGTTAGAAAATTGTTGCCTAGATTATTACCTGATGATACCAAAGCACGTTATATTGCTAGAGGAACACTTGTTAGAATAAAAGAATATAACACTAATGACAGCAATTCTTTGCACTTCACCTCCATATAACATACATTTTGAAATCCACATCAAACACAAACTCCACTCAAATTTCATGTTCATTTATCCCAACCTTTGCTTACTTCAGGACAGTTAAGGTTCAACCTCCTGAAGCGCTATCTACATATCTAAGACTTTCTAACTTCCCTCTTCTCCCCACAGCTGATGCAGCTGCCAGGAGCTCTGAAAAATCACAGCATAAAGGTTGTGGGTGCCTTAAATCACAATGCATTTCTGTAAACACAGCCATCAGGGAATGTACCTGCATCAGTACAACAGAATTTAGGTGTGCTGCACATCAGCAGGCAGCTGTCACGAACACCAACAAATAAACACTTGCATTGCTGGCATCCTCAACTTCTTCCTCCATCTCTGAAGAGCCTGTACCTTAGATCACTGCATGATCAGTGCCCAGGAACTGACAACTAATCAATTTCTTGGTCATCTAAAATGGTCTTTTGTACTTCTTTGTTAGTAATTTTGTTAAAGCCAGAATTACATTTCTGAAGAAACTTACAAGCTATTTAAAAACTTAAAAGTTAGCAGAGAATGCTAACAAGGTGTTGTTTCCTTAGGAGCTACTATGTCTGTGGCTTATGAGGTGTACTTCATGAGAAAGCTGTGGCTGAATGTAACTCCTGGGAAGGACCTGAAAGCTGATTCCATTTTTCATTACCACCAGGTAACCAGCTCCCTAAAGCACAAATATAATGACAGGCAATGTGATCCAAGAAATACTCGTAGGAAATTAAGTCTTCTAGAGTAATTACAGTCTATCTCACCACAGCTTGCATTACAGAGCTTCCAGAGGAATGCCTCTGGAGGACACAGCTCAGCCTCAGCAGCAGGTTTATTTCTCGCAGTGTTCACACCTTAGCAATACTGCTTATGTTAGGAGCACAGCTCCCTAATCTAATTGTACCCTGGAGGTGCTCGTCTTAATCCGTAATTGTATGGAGAATCATAGAATGGTTGGAAAGGACCTTTAAAGATTATCCAGAGAACCTCCAGAGAGTCAAAAGCCCTTGAACTGTGTTTGGCAAGACTCATATCCTGACCTCACAGCTTTGGCATCCATAAGTCAGTGTTTGCTTCAGCCCATTCTGTCGGGATTCAGAGCTGGTCTCTTCCAGGAGTTGCCGAAGTACCTCAGAGGCTACCACAAGTGTTCCAAAGATGAAGCCGTCCTGCTGGCAGGGCTGATTTATAAAGTGCGCTTCAACAATGACCGCACACAGCTGGCAACCATACCCAAAATCTTGAAGGAGCTGGTGCCAGACAATCTGGTCCGAGCAATCTCACCAGATGAGTGGAAGAAGGTAAGAACATCAGCTTTCATTAATCATGCCACTTCCACAGAGCTTTATGAGAGAAGACATTGAGACACACTACTTTTTTGATCTGACAGTCTTTGAAAGCATTATTGAGGGATGCTACTGGATGTTGCTGTTTTGCCTCTTACAATCTAGATTTTGCATCCCCTCTATGAAACCTCTGAAAGGTATCTGCAGGCCTGGACAATGGATTTGAGATATGCATTTTTCTTGGAGATATGAATCTATTTTCAGTGTCCAGAGGAAGAGTTAGAGATAGGAAAGTCAGTGATGGGACTGGGGATTTGAAGATCTTGTAGAGAAACGAACATTAAGATGTCTCCTAAATATTTCAGTTTGGCCAGCAAATCAGTCACCTTGCACCATGTGCATGCTACTCATAGCAAAAGGGTCCTTTCTCCACCAAAAGGCAAGAAAGTTTCAGCAGGTACTTATTACTTACTCCACTGAGGAAGACATAGGACACCATTTCAAACACAGAGAGAAAATTCACCCTACATGTTTCAGCAGAAAATGTGATACATGTCTGTGGGTGTTGAACACTGGCTTTCTGAATTTTGTTTCATCCCATATGGCCCCTCTACCCTGAAATCCGTTCCCTTGGGCTCCTGGACTTCCTTCAGCCAACTCATTAGTAAGGAACACTGGGGAGGTTCTGGCTCCACCTTGCCCCATGGCATGGTAGGCTATTTTAATTTTCACAGTCTTATGTTGCTGTGGGCACAAGACTGATCTTGGTGATGGTCTGATGCTGTCTTTAGTGCTAATGCTGGATACATTGGAAACCTGCCTGTCTTCAAATGAATAGAGTTTGCATCCTTTTTTCTAAACAGAGCATTACTGCAGCATATAGCAAACATGAAGGAAAAACTGTGGATGAGGCCAAGATTGCCTTCTTGAAAATGATATACCGGTGGCCAACGTTTGGATCAGCCTTCTTTGAGGTGAAGGTAGGTTTAAAGGCTTGTATGAATGGCTTTGGTAGTAGACCAGCACTGGGGGGGTATGGACTGACTATAATTCCGTATCTGTGTAAGGGGGAATGCATTATAAAGCTGGCTTGCCATCATCTATAGAGGAAAACTCAGTTCCTTGGAAGTGGGGAGATGTTTTTTTTTAATCCCTTCTGAACTACGCCTGTTATTTACTGGCTATGTTGTTGTTCCAATTGTAATACTTAATACTACAAGTATGTAGTAGATGGGGTCTTTTAGTTACACAGATACTTAACTGTCCTGCCATTGTTCTCCACTACAAAATGCTGCCAAATCTTGTACCTCTGGGGACTCCTCCCTCAGAACAGAACTGTACTAATCCTCTCATTCTGCAGTGGATACCTCCAGGAATCATTTCCCACTTGCTACCTTTAACTTCTCCTCGCTAGACTCTTAACCGGTTTGCAACCAACCATTAAGCCTATTATCAGATAGCCTAGGAAATAATGGACCCGATTCCGCTTTTATGTAGCGGTTACTCAAGTCATCGATATGTAGCCAAAAAAGTCATCCTTAGCAATAGTTAAATAATATTGAAGAACTTTATGTTTCAGTGTTTATTTGGTAAAGAGAACAAGCAGCACTGGACACTGTTAAAGGTCACTATGCACCTGTTACGGATCATTTCTTAATTTTCTGCTTATCTTGCTCTGTTACTCATTTATAGCAAACCTCAGAGCCAAATTTCCCAGAGATTGTGCTGATTGCAATCAACAAGCAAGGCGTCTCACTGATACATCAGAAGACAAAGGTAACAGTTGCTTCTCAAGAGTCTATCTAAGGAAGGATTTAACTGACTGTGTTAAGACAGCAGCAGGACCTCCTCCCTGAATGGTAGGAGAGTATCGATAGAGTCCCTCTATTCATTTTCTGTGTGAAACTGAAGAAAATGTTATTGCCTCAAATCACTTCTTTACAGTTTCTACACTGGAAAGGAAACAGTGTAGAGCACCTCTGAAAAAAGAAGTGGTAATCACGATGGACCTGGGCAAAGAGTAAGATCAGGCAGGTGGATGGCTAGTGCACTAGGGAACCTGCTTCAGAAAAATGCTTTGCAGGAAACCCAAGCTGTCTAAAAGATCATGCTGAATAATAGTGTTTACCAGCTCTCTAACCCAAACAGTCTGGTCTTACCCAAGTTCCCAGGTAAAAGCATTTATGAGTCTCACTATTTGTTTTTAATAAGAAAACAAGTATCCAGAGAGTTTTAGATTATAAAATGGTAGTGTGCTAAGGCAAAGAGCAATATATAATGAAAGGAAGTCTCATTAGAGTGATTAAGGCTCACCCACTTGGTGAAAATACAATATAACACTAGTCTGGATGCAAGACCTACCTTGATCTACTGTGTTTATAAATGAAGTGGGAAAGAAAAAGAATGCTCTGGCTCTACAGTTTTTCTTACATAACAGCCTGTTTTCATTTGAGAAATGTTCTATAGTTCAGTTTGTTTCCCCTTACAGGATATTTTAACAGTTTACCCCTTCAATAAAATCTCCAACTGGAGCAGTGGGAGCACATACTTTCACATGACAATAGGGAACCTGGTACGAGGAAGCCGGATCTTATGTGAGACATCTCTGGTAAGAAGAGTTTTGTCAACTTATACACAAGAAACTACTAATTTTTTCTTTACATCTAGGATTGCTACAAAACAATGGTGCCAAAACAGATGTTAAAACCAGTGCAGATACAAAAAGCACTCACTGCTATGTCAATAAAACTGCAGTTTAGAACAGGTTCAGTGCTATATAATGCCATCTGATGCAAAGACATAAACCACAGAGACAAGGAAAAATACCAATTTTCCAAATTCTTCCCATACATCAAGATTCTATTTATCTGAGACATTAAGAAAAAACTGCACTTACCAACAAATGATGTATGAAACTTTTTGTCTTGCATGGTTTGATCCATCTATGGAGTAACGCCATCTTTGTAAGATTTTACATTTTTCGATCAGTGGTACCACCTTTTTAAGAATTGATTTCAGATTGTCCACAGACTCAGACAAGCATCACTGTATTGATATTTAAAGGTAAATTTGTAAAGATAACATGAAAACATCCAAGGGCTAACTTCTATCACAGAAAAGCTTGGATTCCTAAGTACAAGATGTCAATCTATAGAATGAACAACAAGGAGACAGTAGAGCTATACTTTGTAAAGTTTTATAAGTCTACAAAGGGAAGAGCAGAGAGAAGAATAGATAAATAATTATCAAAACAGTGATAGCTGTTGGAAAAAGAGATGTCCATGCAGGGAAGAATCTAAGTAGAAGACAAAACAGGAAGGAAATTATATTTTTACTTCTGGAGCTCTTTGAGAGGCTTAAGACTTTTTTATTTTTCTGACAGGGTTACAAAATGGATGACCTGTTAACATCCTACGTACGCCTGCTAATGAATGCTGTAAACAAGCAAAAGAACCTCCCAGCATGAGAGCAGAAATAGAACCTACGGTCTATAACTGTGCCAAACTACCTTTAATTTCATCTCCCAGAAGAAATGCCATTTAAAAAATATTAATCTTGATGATCAGTCTTCTGATCACACACTGAATGAACTGTGTGGCTGAAACATTACCACAAGAGAAGCTCAAGTGAGCATGTGCTTTCAAGTATCTGTAACACTTGTCTGTCTGAGATGTAGTAGAAGAATTCCATTCAGATTTTGGATTTAGAGAAAGTTTAGCTGGATTTTAATGGGAGCAGGGAGGCAGAAGAACCCTAATATGAGAACCTCTTCTGACACTCTAAAGCTCCTCTATTCTTAAAGAGAGACACACATTTCCTTTTGGAAAGAAAATGTCCCCTTCTTGTATATGCTCTTACCAAATGGATAAACTCCTTGAGTCTTGACAAACAAATGTAATGTTATTTTTTAACTCCTATTGGAAATTCTAAGAGTGGAGAAATGCCTTGTATTAGTAGGATAACTGGACACCTTGAAAGGTAAAATGCTGGCTTTCATCCTTTATCACTAGGTTATGTGCTGCAAGTTACAGTAGACTATGACAGCCAGCTACTGTCAGAATATAACTGTCATTCCTGTGTCCTACTAAATTAGCAGGCTGTCTGCTGGTTTACCATTGCCTTGGTTAATTTGAATAGTTTTCTTTCTTCCACACTTTATAATGCACTTGGAAACTAACAACTGCTTTCTATTCTGCAGTTTCTAGTAAACATAAACAGACTCTGAAATGAGCATTACTTTTACTCAGTTGCTCCTATTTCAAGTTATAGATGTGCTATCCAGTGCAAATCAGAATCAAAGAACACAGTCTAGCAGACATCTGTTGAAAAGAGACTTTTCTGCTCTATAAAAATGTTCTCAGCTTGGAGTTATGCAGACATTCGTTCATGAGACAAGAATAACAGCTTTCATTTCTCCTGATCCTTTCTATTTCCTGTTTAGCAGGCACTTTGAGTGGTAAAATTTGATTCAGCACTTGTTCATCTCTCAGACCTTTGTAAACACACAACTTTGGTCCTGTAGGAACCAGAGTGTGCTCAGTGTGTAAAGCATGCATGCACTGTGGTGGCAGCAAGCCTAGATGCTTACCCCATCAGAGAACAAGTACACTTTCCTCAATGACAAGCCCTCCCTTGCTCCCAGTGAAACATGGACACGTCTTAAAGCATTTACACCAAGTTCCTTGAGACACGATCTGGCAGTGCTGGAAAAGCAGCTCTGCTAGATCTCTCAAATTTGCCAATGTATGCACAATGGTTCTCTTGTTCCCTCAGATGTATGTGTGTGAAATCCAAACACTAATGGGAGTTCTGTACATGGGTGGCAGGGAAGAGCCCCACTCTCTTTGTGCATCTAAATGAGTGCCACACTTGTCAGAATAGTTGATCCTTTTGCATGACTTTTAGGTTTTTTGTCATCCTATGTCTGATCTAACTGGCTGTAAATGAGAACCATCCAATATTTCACCTGTACAAAAAGAAATTTTGCCGCCAAACTGTATTGTCTCCAGTTTTTAAATAAACACTGCAGAAAAACAACCAGAATGTCTTTTTTAACAAGAAAACTGAATATTCACTGTAGATCCATGTAACCTAAACCTACCAAACATCCACTACAGCCTGTAAATGATCAGAGCATCCCATCTACTCATCATATACACAACACAATTTGTACAGCACAGCCTCTAAAAGGAGGATACCCCTTTCTGCACATCCTCGTCAACCAACACATCACCACAGAAGCAGCACAGATCCAAAACACGAATTCATCACGACAGTGCATCAGATTTTGGGCAATCCCCAGAGTTCCTCAGAGTGCATAATACTCTCTGGCTCAGCACTGCAAATGTTTGGGTTTTTTTTTTTTTTACTGTACAATATACAACTCTTTTACATTTATTTTTTGTGTGAATATTTAAAATGTATTAGTTAACTTTATTACAGGAACATAAAAAGGTACAGTATTACAACATTTCAATCCACAATCATATGTTTTGGTTAGACAACAATGTGTGATAAAATGAGAGCTCTACATGGTGCAGAACCTACACTGCTCATCAAGGCCTGACCCAAGGCAAGTAGCTGCTAATTCTTACTCAGTTTATACCATCCTCAGCACTTAACAGTGCTTTACAGACTAGTACAACCACATTTATTACATGTTTGCCTGCAATCTATTCCTTTACCATCCAAGAACTTTTTAAAAAAGCATCAGTCACATCATCTAATACAAAACACGCAACATCTAGAAACTCTCTGTAATTCTGTACAGAGAGTACAATATTTGAACAATATTTGCCTACATTGCACAGACTGCTATAAAAATAAAGATCAGGATGCAAACCCTAGAGAGCAGATTAAGTTGCCATAAAGATTGCAAGTGATTAACATACCCTTTGAATACAAACAAGCTTCACATACTGTGGTTTCTAAAAGCAAAACCATTTTCAAGTGTACTCAGTGAATATTAGTGATTTTAATTCAGTATGTATAAATATGAGTGTAAACTATAAATGTAATGAGACAACAGCTTTTAGTAAGTGTAGACTTCTGAGCCAAGTTCAACCTTGATATAAATCTATACTCTCCAGTGGTGTGATACCTAGGACAAATTTGGCCAGCATGTCTATTTACAGCAATGGAAAAATACATGCAGCTTATTTCTGACTGAGATCTTGACTTTATTTAAAAAAAAAAAAAAAACCCAAACCCCAGCCTGTCAGCCTATCAACACACTAAGGAGAATTCGTAAGTCTGCATTATGTTCTATTTAGTTTTTAAGAAGTGGACTCAAAGAAGTAGAGGAAGATTAATTTATTTAAACTATAGCTATTTCTCCTATTCCTTCAATTCCACTGTCCCACAAAAGGTATGTCAGTAATATTCACCACTGTAACTCTGCACGTTGCAGATTATGGGCAGCAGGAGTATAAGAAAAACAATTGTGAAAAATTAGTAATTTAAGAGATACTGAGAGAACATCACCCTCTGCTAATACAGAAATCAGGGATTATGATGATTTTTCCCCTCCCTAATTTTGGGAAATACTCTGAAGATAAGAACATAATCAAAATCCTAGATAACTGAAAAGCTTATCAAAGAGAATGAATCAACTGTCCTTTGAACACTGAAGCTTACTACGTCTACTGAATTTCTAATGTGAGACCAAGTGAGAGCACACACTAAATCTCTATGTGCATTACAAAAGTAATTCCATTCACCTCTACCTACAAGCATTTTCCATTGCTGAATTTGAGAGTGGCCACTGAAAGAACATTACCTATTGCCTGCTAGTTACATAGCCTTTCCATATTCACCAGTAGCTATGCGGCTGTGTGTTCCTCTACCATCTTCCCTGGAGGCTGAAGATACAGAGCTGCTCAGATTTAGCATTAGACATGGCCTGTGACTAAGATTATAGGAACTGACCTGAATGCTTATGCTGAGAAGAATCTGCATAACATACTGAACTGCACCTAGATCAGTAGTTCTTGTGTTTTATGCTGTGAAAAAAAAAAGCCAAATAGGCTTACAAAACTGGTCTTTGCGGTGGCCACATACTACTGCACCAAAAGACATGCTGCTTTTTGTGCCCTTAACTAAAAGGCTAGTGAGGTAACAGTAACTAGCCACATGTTCTCCTAAAGCAGTGACAAAACCAGCTACTACTATTATAATCTACAGTGCATATTGGTCAGAAGAGGACAGAAGAGTTCTACTGTTAAAATTAGGCCTATCCCCTCATCAGTGTTATTAGTGGATGCAGTATACCCCAGCTAAACGTTTATGGTAACTTATAGCAACAAAAAGCAAAACAGCTGAAGGAAATTCAATTAGCAAAGCCAGTAAGTATCTAAGAGATGGTCTTGCATGTGGGATTCTTATCTGCACACAGTTAACCAGGACTGCTGCTGTGACACCACTGGTGCAGTTTCACGGGTAGTAGCTACAGCAAGCATGTTAACAGCTATCAATGCTTTAGCTGTTATCCCATTTAGAACTATTCTGAGCAGAGTGTGATGGCAGCAAGGACAATTTTAAGGTAGATTATTGCCCCAGTCCAGTAGCTGCTCACACATACAAGAAGTGAGGAAGCTTTAACTTCTTGGTAGCTAATTCACCTGGGGCTGCAGTGTGGTGTCTAGGCCCAACTGCTGTGTTCATTTGACCTACTAAACTAGCCACTTTTTGGATGACTTAAATCATGCAAGGGACAGCTGTCCTCCAGTGATTTTCATCCTGTCCACCTTGCAAAAGGGTAGGCATAGTCACCAACTATTCAGAGAAAGTGATTTTCACACTGCTGAGCTTAGTTCAGCACATGAAACTATGGGGGAAACCTCCAGAGGTCTCAGAAGCTCACCGTGATTATGCAACATACAGGTGGACTCAGGAAGAGCACTGCTGATGGCTCACCCCTGAAGAAATACTGAGAATGTTCAAAACCAGTAAATTTCTCAGCACCTTGGGTTGTACTAGCAGAGACAGTAGGACCAGTGAAACTTCACCAGTGGTAGCCAAAAACATAGAGCAGAACTATACACTTAAGATGTACAGATTCATGTCTGAGGTCCTCTCTTGAAATAAACTCAGGTCTTAAGAAGAAATGTGATAGGAAAGTCTTATTTGGATCAAAATTTTAAGAAAAGTACTTCCTGTTTTTTTTTCTGCATAAAACCATGTCTGCTACAAACTAAATATTAGAAATCCCTTCATGTAATTGGGCTTTCTGAAGCGTGACCAAGAAGCATATACTCATCTTTCAAATAAAGCAAGAAGGGTGGGGAAACTGAAGTGCTTAAAGTGGTCCCATATTACAAATTTGATTTCATCATGCAAAAGAATAACGAAGGGTCCAGCCACATTGCCTCAAGAAATGTCAGCTATGCCAGTGGACAGGACGTGCTTTGCACTGACCACTAGAAGCTCTAGTATCCATGTAGTAGTAGAGAACAAACTGAGAAAATTAAAGTGTCAGTTTCTAACAAAATCTTTTGTTTCCCATAGCCACCTCCTCCTTAAGGAAAGCCCAACTATTCTGAAGAGGCTGACATGGCCTTGACAATTGAAATCGCCTTAGTACTGAACAGAGAAGCAGTAAAACAAACTTCTTCAGTTGTCTTAACATTGGACCTAAGCCAGACAAGCAGGCAGTGCAGATGCTGTAACTATTGGCTCCTGGGTTTTCCCAGTAAACCTGCAAACCAGAAGGACTGTACAACATCCATATATGCTCAGTAGGAATCTGGAGAAAGACCAGAACATTTTGCATGTAGCAAAGAGTGACAGCTTTCAGAATATTTGCCTATATATTAAAAAAAAAAAAAAAAAAATGTTTTCACCCAGGAGAAATTTTTATACTTCAGCTGAAAAAGAGCAAATCACACATTTCTTCCATCCTTACACTCAACCACTGTTTCCTAATTCCTTAGACTATAGAGGAATGGAGAGAGAACTGCAGTTCAACTGAGAAAGGAAAGACTCTGTACAATTCCACAAAAGCAGAAGAAGTTGTTATTAGCAAATTAATAACCAGCCCATAAACTGTCAAGCAGGAATCATATTCCTCTTTCTGCCAGTGTTAATAGGCAGTTGCTTGAGAAAAGGGATAGTCAAGATGCAAGCTACATTACCAGAAGCAGGGGAAGGTACTACTTATCTTTGGTTTCACTTATTCTTAGTAATTGCCTCTGTAATCAACAGCTGCTGTGAGCAGCAGCTTATTACTGTAAGAGTGCAGTCAGCAGACTGACAGACCTGTTTAAGCAGAGTTTAAATCCAGAGCTTTGGGATGCGCCTTCTTGGATGCCAGCTCTGACAACTTCTTCAGGCGTTTCTTCAGCTCTAGAGGGAATTTCTCATAGCACTTCTTGCATACAGGCTTCATGTCAAACTCCACAAACTTATTCCTTTAACACAGAGAACAGCAGGCTGTTAAAATGGTTTTTGCAAACTATATGCTTCACTAAATCAAGTCTCTGTGCATCTACGTAAATGCTGTTGTCTGTGTTGTACTGCATGTATAAAACAACTCACTTTCTTGTCTGGTCTTGTAAGTACAGAGATTGGGTTCTTATCAGGGAACTAGGGTCTTTAGCATTGTTAGTTAAATAAGGAGCAAGATTTTGCTATATATTTGTATGTAACAGTCTAGAATAATAATGTTATCATAGAATGGAAATGTCACTTCAAAGGTCCTCTTTGTGATGAATTAGAGCTCCTTCATATACAAGGCCAGTGGGGCCAACCCAGCATAGCAGGGTAAGGTTTTGAACCTAAGAAAGGAAAAATGTAGGATTGCTTTGTTTTCTGTCCCTCTTCTACATATTTGAAGTAACTAGCATAGTATTTTCTTTCAAAATAATCTACACAATTGCAAATACTGTCATTGAGAGGAGCATCCAGACTAAGGAGACATGAAGGCTGCAGGTATTTCAGGACAGGCAGTTACTTGAAGTTTAGCGCCTTCCCTCTGTACTGCTGAACAAGATCTCCTCTTACCCAACCTTCTTACAGAATAGATTAACGAAGGAAAAGAAATAAGAGAGGATGCTGAGTCCCAACTCCCTTTTAGTTCTGAAATCAGTGGAATTATAAGCACCTGCTCCCACAAAGAAAAGGTGTATTGCCCCTTAGAGAGGTACTGGCTCATGGCTCCCCCAAGCTGATATCTCACACCATCCAAAATATAAACACTGACTTACTTCAGTGTAAGCTTGATGTTGCAGGTGGAGCAGGAGAAGCAATTCACACACCAGGCCTTGTTAAGAGCTGATACCACTGCAATAGCAAAAGCACAAAATAAGAGGAAACTGACAGATTATTTGAATTTGGATTTGTATCCAAATTCAAATGAGGCCAGATGTGAAAATAAACACTGGTGCCTTGCAACACTGGGACTGCAACAGCTGCACTAACAAATGGAACAAGGATAGCAACCCAAAACAAGGAGAGAACAAATCTTACCATCTCCCTCTATCACGTGGCTGCAGTTGTAGCAGACATCTCCAAAGAGCTGCACAGCAAAAGAAATAATAACAGGAACTCATGTTACTGACTACTCATGCTCCCCAAATTACACAGCTGGTGTGAACATTAAATCCTAACAATCAAAGAATTCCCAGACATTGCAAGTAGCCCCCAAATATAGCAATTTAAATCTTCTGAATAACTTCTCATACACTTGCCAAATAGTCTATGTTCCTTTGGATCTCATACCACTAAATAATACAAAACCTTTTTGTTGATGCCTTACACTCTACCACTGTTATGTGATCTTAAAGTTCTGTACATGTGGCAATTTGGAGAAAAGAGGATCAGTAGAGTATGATGCTTACTGTAGACAAACATCTCATGATGCTTAACTATAGCTTAACTATAAACATCAAAATAAAACCTAGAGCTACTTTCAAAACAGTAACACTTACCTCTTACGAAAGAGACTAATTTATCTGACAGAAGAAAATACCAAGCTCATGGCTATTCATAGTCATACTGAAAAAAAAGGTTTTGATTTGCTTTTGAAACATACTTTTCTTATGCTTTAGAAAGCACAACACTTATCTTAGGCCCACGGAAGCAAGTAATTATTAAAGAAGTCCACGCAAATAGTTTTGGAGTAGAAATACAGGTATTTTAATCGCAAGCCATGGTCAATGTTTTTTTCTGTCAATGGCACAATGAAGAATCAATATCCCCAAGACATTTCTATTCTGTTCTCAGCATCACTTTTCACATCTACGAAGAAAAACTATTTTTTCTGTTAAATCTCACTAATTTCTTAATATTGCATTGCCTCTACAAATTCAGATAATGCAAAATCTGCATAGCTTTGCATATGTAAAATACAAAAAAGCATTTGCTAGTCATTGCTGGCAGAATTTACCTGGTTATAGTGAGTTTCACAATAAGCCAGTCCTTTTTTCTCATAGTGTCGGTGCCCCAAGAATGGCTTTTCACATTTGGCACAAACAAAATGCTGTAAAAGAAAAAAAGACATTCAGTGGCAAGCAAAGTGACTTTTCCATCACCAGGGAAAAACTTGCATGGCTATAAATCACAGCTCAGTATGAGACACTTAATCATAGAATCACAGAACAGTTTGGTTGGAAAGGACCTTTAAGATCATCCAGGTCCAACCCCCCCTGCCATGGGTAGGCACACCTTCCCCTAGACCAGGTTGCTCAAAGCCCCATCCAGCCTGGCCTTTAACACTTCCAGGGATGGGGTATCCACAGCTTCTCTGGGCAACCTGTGCCAGTGCCTCACCAGCCTCACAGTGAAGAATTTCTTAAGTCTAATCTAAATCTACCCTCTTTCAGTTTAAAACTGTTACCCCTCAATGCTCTAATGAAACGCAGACAAGAAAATCTTTATGGAAGTAAAAGAAAAGAGGAAATATTTAGTCTATTACAGTAATTAACAATTGTATTAAAGATAGGTAGACCTGCTGAAAGGGCAATCATCTTGTATCTATACTGACAGACTTGCAGACTATTATCTTGCTTGTTTCAGAGAAGAGAAACAGGAACATAAAACATGGTTGGTATGAATGCACTTCAAATGAGCAGCAGCAGCAGCAACTCTCTCAGTTGAAGCCCTAGGAGGCTTAAATCACTAAAGCCATAAATCATGGAAAAACTTCAGAGCAAGCTGTGACGACTCATCTGAAAGTTATAGAAGAAATGAGCTGAAAAGGCTTGAAAAGCAAAAATTGCACTGGCTCTGCCTACATTACAAATTCTAACGCTGTTACAAACCTGTTAACTAGGGTTGGAGAGGATATACCTAAATACATCATAGTAAATATGTACATTTATTAGTAAGTAAATACTGTTCAGTGAACTATATTCTGCGAGAATCTTTACAATGCAAGTCAGGCATTTTAAAATTAAGGTTACTACTGTTGTGAAAACATAGCTTTCTTAGGCAGCCCTGATGACCCTGCTGTACTCATTCACTCACATAAGGTGAAGACAATCTGAAACACAAGCAATTGTTTTTTTGTCTGGATTCATATATTACAAAACACATAAATGTCTACAGCTTCCAACTAGCACAAGTCCTCTTCCAAAATGGCTCCTGAAGGAAGTGTTGGATTCAGAGGCCTCACCTCAACATGCCACTGCTTTCCCAGAGCATTGACAACTCGTCCCTCAATGGGCCTGCGGCAGGCTCCACAGATGGGGATACCCATCTTGTCGTGGCAGGGTAGGCAATACAGTTCTCCCTTCAGTTCCCGGGCCTCAGCAGTTAGCTCCTTCCTGAAAACGCAAACATGTCCCTGAAGTAAGAACACCAAGTGAAGCTCTTTAATGCCAAAGATGAAGTTTTGGGAGACTAAACTTGAAAGCTAACATACTTTGGCAACATTCATGCTACAAATGCAAAGCCATTAAACTAAGCTGATGACAAACAGTTACTGTCAACTCATCTTTCCAAAATTGCCTTCTCAGTTTGCCAGATGAGAGCGTACGTGGAATATCATGTCTTTGGCTAGATACTCTAGTAGAAACATGAGGTACACTTACATGAAACAATGCAGCATCCATATGAAGACTCAAGCCATCTTTGAATGAGATACCTCAGGTACAAGGACCATCCTAGTAGTGCTCCGCACCGAGACATTTATTTTATTCTTCAGCACTGTTACAAATTCTAGGGCAGTACTGAGATCCAATTATAATGCCTTCATGGGAAGTAATTCAGGTCAGACAGATATCAGCATGATAATGGACTGTGCCAGAAGACTGACACAGCTCACCAAGTCATCTTTTTTTTCCTATCCAGAAATACAAAGTGAAACTATTTTGAATAGCCTGGCAACAGCTATCTTTGGACAATACTATTACTGTACTCTGCACATGGCCTTTCAGGTAAGTTTATACCAAGCAACTACTTTCATTTTCAGTATAAAATAGCGTCCTTCAAGTTTAGGATAAAAGACCATTGAATGGCAAAATAAAACTGAAGTTCCTGTAGGCTTCCCAAACTTCTTTCAATTTCTCCTCACACAATTTCTGCTTGTTCAACAATGTGGAGGTAGCAAAGTTTAGGCCTTGGAAAGAACTGCACTGCTGACTGTACTGTTTGTCCCTCTCCTTTTTTATCAGAGTTTAGAATACGAGAACATACCCACAGTGGGTGCAGTTGAAGTGATCCGGATGGTAGGAATCATTCCTAAACATCAGAGGTTGCTCATCAATTATCAAGTGGCACTTCTGACAGATGTACTTGCCCAGTCCTTTAGCTTTTTCACGGTTATGGCATGGCCTGCACAGATGCCTGGTTGAACAAAGTAAAGAAAATAAAATACTAAGAAATTCTTTCTCCTAAAACAACGTACAGTGCATGCTGTAGGATGTACTTCATGTAACAGAAAAAGCATCTTCCAAGGTCAGACTAGACATAATTTAGTTTAGTATCTTGTCTTTCACACCATTGCACAGAAAAGAATATGTAGATAGAGCAGTCACAGCGTCGTATTTCCTTAATATACTCCTCCAACATTCACTGATTTATATCCCATCAGGGATATCATCCTGTCATTCTTCTAGGTATCCTTTCCAATTCTTCTAGATCCTTTTTGAGAGGTGGGCAAGGAAATGTGGCAACACCCTCTCTCTATTACTAACTATGGGATCCAGCCATAACAGAGGCATTACGGGACTGGGAAGGAGTCAAGGAGAAAGAATAAAAAAGTATTAATCCAAAGCACATTGCTCAAATGCCTTTACCATGGCTGGATTCCTTAGTCTTCAATAGCTAGGAAAAACAAGAGACCATTGAATACTACTCTTCTGTCTACAAATTCCTTTTAGTCCTAAGTTAAAGAAAATAAAGAAATACGCAATTTTGCAATTTTATGTGGTAAATGTAACTGTGTTCCTATCACATATTCTAGAACATATTACAAGTACAGTCCTGAACAGGTAGATAAGTCAAATTTCTGGTAGAAAAGCCTGGGCAAAGGCATAAAAACTTCTGTGAAGGCTGATGGAATCCACCAGTTTTATCCCAATATTTAGGAGCTCTGAGGAGAAGCTGTTCAAGTTACTTGCCTATTACCTACCCCTCTAGCTGCAATGCTGCAGGCTGGGAAGAATTCATGATAAAACAAAAATTACAGAGGAATTACTTCTGTGGGTTTCTTTGTCACAGAACAGACAGGCCTGCTTAATTCCTTTCACTGTATCACTATGTGAAACACCACTGAGATTTACAGGTCATTCTCAAAAGACACCAGACAAAAGGAAAAGTTCAAATGGAAAGGGTAGATTTATGGCTGAAGTAGTGGGTTCTTTGCAGGGCCCCTTCTAAAACTCTGCTGTGATGAATCACTTACCCTTAGATCTGTAAAATGGGGGCAAGAATACAACACAGATGTTGTTGTGAGACCTCAAACATTTATGACCCTCAGCTGGCAGGCGCCTAAGTGCTAAGTACTAGTATTATTCTCCCCAAATCTGAGTCCTCCTGTCAGCAAGTGTCTCTCTCCAGGGCTGGAACTACTGTCTGCCCAGGCGGAGTCCAGAAAAAGCAGACAGCACCCCATTATAAGGGAACACGCAGCTGTGCTCATCTCAGCATAAAGGCATCAATTTTATTCAGCACTGTCAAATGCAGCATAATTATATGGGCCAGGACATAGGGACCCTGAAGCAAGTGTCCTGAAAGAGACCCCTCTCATTCAGCTGAATAAGATGCCTTCAGCCATTTGGACTGATAAACCATTATCAACCCCTCCCCACTCACAAACCCTCCCTGCCGTCCCATAGACCCTCCTCTATTGCAAGCAAAGGGAAGTGTTGGACAGGCTAAGCTGTTACCATAGCAGCCGCCCCTTTCCCTCTCCCCCTCCTCACTCCCACCATTATGGAATTATCCCATTCTGAAATGTCCTGTTGTGTCTATTAATACCAGACTTCCCCCAAACAATGCTTCTCTCCACCCTCCTAAAATAATCAGGGGACTCCAAGAAGTCTGTGTTCACGGCTGGGAGTTCAGTAACAGCCTTTAGTAAGCACCATGAACACTGGAATATTCATACAGTATATTCATATCTGTAACAGCAGCAGCAACCCCAGTGCCAAGAGCTCAGCTGGGATGAAGACTGCTCTTCAATGCTGGAGTGTCCTCTCCCCTGCACTGTTGTGTGACTGAGCAGATAATGCGCTATCAGAGCTAGAAGGACACTATATAGAGGGGCTCCCCTCTCCACCCTCAGCAACTCTGCCACTCTGTGCTCTTTTTGGATCATCTTGTTGTTTTCACCATTGCTGCTTCTATTTGGTTTGCTGTTATCAGAAGGAGTTCCTTGAGATTTTCCCAAAAAGGACCCTACACTCCACCCATAGGACTGCACTGTAAAGAGGTAAGAGACAAACTTCTGTTAGCAGAATAACGAAGGAGCCTTCCTAACGGCGTTAGTTTTAGCTGGTGTCAGTGAGGTGGAAAGACACATGCACGGAGGCAGATGAATATAATGGAAGTGTTTGAAACTAAGAAAATGCAGCATTTTTTTGAACTTCAAAGAATAATTTCCTCACTCTTCTTTACATCAGTCTTCCAAAACATAAAAGTTTTCAAACTTCTGTACCTAATGTACATCCATTTGTGCCAGGAAAACTGACAGTTATATGGTATGTCCAGTGCTTTCTGACACTGCTTTGGTGCTCACAATAAACAAGTATTTCAGCTGAAGGGTGGGACGCTCAGCAGGGAGTGATTTTCAGGAGAATAATTTCAGCCAGAAGTGGACTATTTCTAATGAAGAGAACTTTCAGTAAAAAGATAGGAGACACTGCTATTTGACAAGACACTATAACCATAATCATAAAACCCCAGAAACCAGCATAATCCCAAATTAGAAACTGCTCTAGATGAGAGCAAGAAACAGGAATTTCTGATAACCATGACAAACCCTAAAACATAGTTCAAATTTATCTGCAGTGGGCATTATAACAAAAGCTCCAAGCTAGCCAGGTAACTAACTTACAATGAGCTAAATATTTCTTCTGCTTATTAATTGTCTCATTAATGATAGAGCAGCTGCTGAAAGAGTAATCAGCTTGTGTCTGTACTGACAGCCTTGTGGATTGTTATCTTGCTTGTTTCTCAGCAGAAAAGAAACAGGGCATAAAATATGGTCAGTGTGCATGCATTTCAAATGAGCAGTGACATCCCCATTACAGCCCAGCCCTGGGAGGCCTGGGATAATGGCTCATTCCAGAATAGTGCTCTGTCTAGCAATATGTAAATCACTAAATATTCGCACAACACCAAGAGTGCAATCCAAGCGGAAATTATTGGACAATGAGCCAGACTCCTAAAGGAGTTTTCTGTCTGTGGAGTCAAAGCCTCTTGTACCATATAGCTGAGCACAAACTACACATTTTAGGGCATTTGGGAAGTCTTCTGATTTGCTCTTAGCATTCATACAGGCTGGTAAAACAAGATTTTTAGGACTTTGAGTGGGTTTTTTTATAAGTGTAACAAACTAAAAAGAAAGATAAAACTAAAAATTAAAAACGTTTATTTTAAATTGATAGGATAAAACCAGGCAAAATAGAAGCAGAACTGTAAATAACAGCAAAGGTCTTTCCACACTGTCTACGGAACACACTGTCAAAGAACTATTCTTTTTGTAAACTCGCAGCATTTTGTTGAAAGCATATCAATTCTAAAAATAAGCTCAACAATTAATTCTAGTGACATGTCAGCTTTTTTCCTAACCTACTCAAGTGCCACACACAATTTTCATGTCAACAAACAGAATTGTAAAAAAAAATAATAAATTAAAAACTTGATTAAAATTCCCTTCTAATTTAAAACCTAAGCAAAACTAGAAAGAGGACCACTTCCCTTTTCTATGATTTCTGACCAGGCAATGAAAAATATCTCCCCTCACCTTGCTCTAAAAAGTAAACTAGGTAACAGCAGCTCTCCTGTGAAGGCACTCAGTTGAAAAGACTGAATCTATTTCAATTTTATTATTAATTCTAAGCCTCTCCCTTCCTGACACAGACATAACTGGCCTTCTGGATAACTCTGACATTCTCCGTTCTACTCTACCCCACAGTATTTTGCAGTGAAAGCATGTGAGGATAGAAATCAACAGCAGACTCAACATTGCCATCAGTAAGGACACAACTCGACTTTTAAGTCTTGGGTATACCAAATTCGGCATTGACACTCAGCTGAATCTGAATCCCGAAGATCCTCCTTAGAAAATCAGCTCAAAAATCAGTTCAACATACCATGCTGCTAAACCCCTAGAATTTACCTTGTAAACAGAGAAAAAGTCTGCTTACTGCTTTGCTTCCTGAATGGATTTAAATCATGATCTTTAAGACAAGAGAAATCCCTGACCATTCCATTAGACGACCCTTGCTTCTGCCTTTTCATCCAGTCTAAGCCAGCATTTACTGTTTTCTCAGTGGCATCACAACCATGTATAGAGTAATGCTTAGCCATCAGATGACCTGATCACTGACAGATGTGTACATAAAGATCACCTGATGACATTTTTCACAGATGAAAAGCATACTTAAACAAAGTGCCCGACACAAAAAAAGACTACATAGCCACAAGATCAGGTGATAGGTACCATTGTAAATTAACAGCCAGTAAAAAGGCATGGTCGCATTGTATTTCTCCTTTGGTATGCAATAGAAAAATACATATTTAAACTAATTCCATCTAGGGAGGACAAGTATTTCAGCATTCAACATTACTATCACACACAAACTTCAAAATCTTGTGTTCAAAAATACTTGCAGGTTTTACTTTGGAAGGGACAAATAAATACTAGAAACAAAAATTGCAGGCTCCTCTGCAAACCCAGGAATTTCACATGGAAAACTGCAACAGGGAATTTTCCTTTTGTACAAGAAAGCAAGATTTCATACCTATTTTTATAGATAAAATGTCTCTTGGAAAAAAGGGCTGTATAGTCTTCCTTGCAGAGGCACTTCTAGTAATTCCAAGATAATAATTTGTTGCTATCTCTAGGACCACAAAGAAGCGTGCAGCCAGCAGTAGGCAGTGAGTACTCATACACTCAAACCTAGAGTCTTTTTTGTGCCGTGAACATGCAGGGTATCTAGGCAATGCATGGAGTAAGAAGGCCTCTCTGTGGCCATAGGAAGAAATTTCAGTTTCTGAATTTCATTCAGTCTCCCTTCTGTTGACCTTTGTCTCTTCAGCTGTGAACTAAACAGAAGTGGTCCAGCATATTAATGTCTAGCTATTGTAGTTTTCTGTCCACCTGAAAGTGACAGCTGTCAAACAAAATATGGTAATTACCTTGGATTTTGTTTACGTTTCCCAATATATTGCTCTGTTCTTAATCCCATTTCAGTCTTGATTGGCCACCAATATTTTTACACATCTGAATAATCAGTTCTGTTGGGAAGCTGAATGCATTGTGTAATGGCTTGGATCAACTGTTTAATGATGCAAGATGTCAGCATATAGCATAGCTTCTGCCCGAGATTAAAAATTTTGTCTAACAATGTCAGCAACCATCTTAACATTTTAATCTCAGTAGAGGAAAACTGACATATTTAAAGATGTACTGAATATTATGGAGAAATGGTCAATCAGTACAAAACGCAGCAGTGAACACAATGGAGGTACTACTGCACATAATGTAACACCTCTGAGGAATTCAAGAAACAGAAACAATGCTTGAAACAGCCTGCCTGCTTTTCCCTACCACCTACACTCACAGATGAGATATGTGTAAAGAAGTCATGGGTACGTGCCCATAAAATCTTACCACTTTTTGTTGATGCTGTTCAGGACCCTGCAGATCACAAAGAGACTGGCAAAGCTAAGCTCAGTTTTACTAAGCTGATACTTGGAAAAGGCCCTGGATAAGCTACAGTGGAGTTCAGGCTTTTGAGGGAGGAAGAGAGAGAGCTATGCTGGGAGAAGAAGAAAGCTGCAGTGAAGGATGACATTTTGACAAGTAACTGAGAGCATGGGCATTACTAGTATTTTCTGAGTCAATTCAGTGCTTTCTGCTGTTCAAATGAGATGCTGCTACCTGTCTGAAAAGTTTCCTCCTGTATTGGAACTAGATGCATTCGCCTTAAATACAGAACTTTAGACTAAAATCATTCTCAAAGCTTTTTTTTGTTTTAACAACAACAATACCCGACCTGTCTTCCACCTCTTCTAGGAACAATTCTAAGCTAGGTCACCTTACAACAGATACTTGTGCTCCGAAAAGCTGACTCATTAGAAGCTCTTCAGTCCTGAATCAGGCTTTCACATTAAACATAGCAAATAATAATTTCTAACTAGATATACAGAACCCACTTCCATTCTTCCATTAACCAGACACATACGCATTTCACTACTCTGTTATTCAACTTATCTCAGCACAGGTTGGAAACAAGCTCATAATCAGCTAGCTAGTTCTTTATAGTGGTTCCTTCAACACGAAGTAATGGTCTGGAAAACCCAGCTGAGCAGGAGGTATTCAGAATTTTAATATAAGGGTTTAAACTCAGACTGACCTGTCGCATTAAATACCACTATCAGCAAACAGAAGACATCACTGATTTACATGTGTGGTTTTTTGGGGTTGGGTTTTGGTTTTTTGTCCCTTCACACAATCCGGTTCTTTTGTAACATACTGTCTCAATTCTTTCAGGTTTTTGGCGTTTTTTTTCTTCAAAACTGTGGTGAAAAATGAATAGCCCAGCAGATCCCTCAAACTTACTCTTCAATTGCTCAAGTCAATCAAATTTCTCTTTGGAAACATCAGAGCAATGTGGCAAAGAGACACACCTCGAGAACATCTTTTTTGCCACTTTCTACTTCCTGGACTTCATCCTGGCTTTTGTCGGCAATGCCTTGGCTCTTTGGCTCTTCATCTGGGACCAAAAGTCAGGCACACCTGCCAACGTTTTCCTGATGCATCTTGCTGTGGCTGACCTGTCCTTTGTGCTAGTACTTCCCACCCGGCTGGTATACCATTTTTCTGGAAATCATTGGCCATTTGGCGAGATCCCATGCAGACTCACTGGCTTCCTTTTTTACCTCAACATGTATGCCAGTATCTACTTCCTCATGTGTATCAGCGTTGACCGTTTCCTAGCCATTGTGCACCCTGTGAAGTCCATCAAGCTCCGCAGGTCCCTTTACGCCCATTTGGCATGTGCCTTTCTATGGGTTATAGTTGGGGTTGCAATGGCACCTCTGCTGCTCAGTGTGCAGACAGTCGAGATGAAAAACACAACCGTCTGCCTGCAGCTCTACAGAGAAAAGGCATCGCGTCATGCCCTTGTGTCCTTAGCAGTGGCATTCACCTTCCCATTTGTTACTACAGTGACTTGCTACTTATTAATCATCCGAAGCCTGAAGAGTGGGAACAGAGTTGAGAAACACCTGAAGGAAAAAGCTATCAAAATGATCGTTATGGTCCTGATGATCTTTCTGATTTGCTTTGTACCTTATCATGTCAATCGCTACATTTATATTCTCCATTACAATGGGACCAAAACTTCCTGTGAAACGCAGCGTATGCTAGCCCTCAGTAACCGCATCACTTCCTGCCTCACAAGTCTAAATGGTGCCTTTGACCCAGTCATGTATTTTTTTGTAGCTGAGAAATTCCGTGAGGCTTTGTGCAATCTGTTTTGTGTTAAAAAGACTGTAATGTTGCCTCAAACATGTGAGGGTAAGACAAATGAAAGCTCACTAAGTGCTAAATCTGAACTGTGAACACGAGTCTTATCACTGCTTCGACTTAAGAACGTTCTATTCCACCAAAATCAGCTGAGAGTGCAAATATGCAGTGAGATAGCCCATCCAGAGTCAAACTCATTCTGAGGAGGGAAGTTCTGTTGTTTTTTTATGGGACTGCAATGAGCAAGAACCCCTCTGACAACAGAGATCACATGTTCTTGTCTTACTGAAACTGCAAACACAAGTACAGTTCTACTGATTTCCAAGATGTGAAACCAAGGCCTGAACACTTAGGAATAGGGAAGGGAGCAAAGAGGCTATCAAATGGACATTAAAAAAACCCTAACCAAACAAAACCCATCTTAATTCCCAAAGCATTCAGTAACGATTCTTCCTCTGCACAATTCATACAGCCTATTTTAAAATTTTTTATTGCGTCAGCAGTACAGACCCACTCCTGAGATAGACCTGCCTGATGAAAGGAGAGCATGCTTGCACATCTTGTTCAAATCTTCAAATTCAAAGCATTTATACATAGTAGACAGAAAATTGGTACTAAATGGTGGCAAGAAAAAAAGACCAAAATGCTGTAATGCACCCAACATAGACTGGAATTGAGACAGGGCTTACAATTTTTTACTTCTTCCCAGCATTCAGAGCTGGAGAAGAGCACAAACTTCGCACTAGCTTTTCTATCTGCCCTCTGCCATTGTCTCAAAGCTGCAGACAGAGGTTGAACAACATTTACTACACTGCCTCTTTTACATAGTTCCCTGCAAAACTTCAGATATCTTGATAACCCTCAAACTAAAGAATGGAAAAGGGCTGTTTAGGAATACAGCATTCATCTTTACTAATTCAGTAATCATAAAAATGTGAACCCAAATGGCAAAAGTGAAGAAAAGTAAGCATATGAAGAAGTGAAGTCTACTTTGTCCAGAAGAGATTCCTATCTTTGAGGTGTTTTACGATTATTTTTTGTGACTTACCTAGCAAAACTATTCCTTCACCACAGGTAAAGTAGGGATATCTTAACTATCCTCACTGATATAAAATGCATCCAGTGGAATATGTCTGGAAATGGCAGGCAGACTAGGGAAGACCAGGTACAATGAGAAGTGGGAAAAGGAACCCAAGAGTTTTCAATAATATTTACTAGAAGACTGCTTCTATTCTATGGAGATAAATATTATAGGAAATCATGTGATGGGTGAATTATATTTTTTATCTACAGATACATACACATGCATATCCCTTTTCTGTGCTTTTGGGAATTAACTCCTTACCATTTTAGATTTGGTCCACAAATTATGAAATTAAAAATACTTTATCTGGCTTGAACTACTTCAATCCTGACTGCTTTTCCAAAACACCCTAGGTGATATCACAACAGCCCATTCTAACAAGCCCAGGTGTCAAAAGAAAATCAGTTATGCCCAACTCCAAAAACTAAGGCACAGAAGCTGTGTGCAGGATGGAAGAGAAGAGGCAGTTGAGAGGACTCCCTGCTGGACAGGGTGCAAGTATATAACCTTTCCTTCCCTTCTTTACCATTTAGTTAGTGAGAATATAAACTCTAGGAAACTACTAGGCTTTGCTCAAGACAGCTGAAAGCCTGAAATTAACCATGAATTGTGCCACTTTCTGCTAACTGCTGGATTGTTTTATTTTCTTACCATGTTATGCTTTTGTACAAGTTCCCTTTTATGTTTTTATTTCTTAATTCTTAATTAAATGCATTAATCAACCTTTAGGACTCATTTTTGTATTTCTGTATATAGAAAGAAAAATTTCCAAAGACCAGGGGAATCACATGCTGAACAGGCTTTGCTGTAATCCTCGTGTTATTCTCTTGGCCTTTTGCTATATCTTGATTTCCTGCTCAGCAGCTGACTTGATAAATAGCCTGCCCAGGATCACATGATCCTTTTTCTCACTTGCTATTCAGCCTTCTCCCTGATATCCCTTTCTTTTCCAGAACCCATCCACTAGCTACTAAAATTTGAGTTTCTGCTTTCTACGTGTTTCATTGGATGAAGAACACTGTTCTTCATTCCATTTCCCATCTCTTAACATGCTATTCCTTAAAACCTCTTCTGTACCTTTTCAAGTTTACCTCTCAGTGTACGACTAACTAGCCACTCTCAACATCTCACTACTATACCAATAACATACTGATAAAGCTTTCAGAGCTCCTGCTCTATCTTACCTGCCAGCATTCTTCACAAAACCCAGGTCAGCAAGTGCTACATCACAGAGCTCACAGCGGAAACATTCTGGGTGCCAGTTATTGTTCATTGCCTTGATAACACGCCCAATAATGAACTCACCTGCAAAAGGAAAGCAACACCTTGAGATGCATGCAGAAAACAGTCTTATCAAAAGTCTACTGCCCTTCATAATCCTTCCACTTTAATTCCACAAGAACTATTACAGTTTAACTTTGAAAAAAAAAAAACCAATTATTCCCACAGCCAGGATACCCCAAATCACTGTTGGTATCATACTTTGTTTTCCTCCAGAGCTCCTGCTCCTTAAAATGACCTTAACAATCCCAGGCCAGGGCTGGATGTCACTGCAGTGCTGGGACGTTTGCACAGCCCTGTACCTGTTACCCCACAGTGTTGACATGCACCACATCTTACCACATTCCCCGCAGCAAGGAGCAAACAGCATCTGAAAGTCATGCTCACAGTACTTCCGACCTTCAAACTGTGAACAAAACAAGAGAGAAGGAGCCCTCATGAATAACTGAATGAACTGCTCTTATGATAGTTCAGCATGATTTTCTATTGAAATGACCAATTAGTCAAGGTCAGTCAAGCTCTCCAGTTCTAGCTCCTCTCACCTGTTTTTAAGTATTTTTCTTCAAGAAATACCCAGATATGGCTTCAGCCTCATGGTGAATTTGTGTAGCAAACAGTTAAATTAATAGCAGTGCTGCACAAGACAATAAAAATCTTGAAGCATCCAAAGCCATTTTCCTATAGTTGGCTTTCATTTCATTTTTGCTTTAGTTTTTTTTTTTTTACTCATGTAATTCAGAACTACTTCTCCTACACAAGGCTAAAACTCGTGGCAAATTAAGAATGCAGCATGTTTAAGATAACATGTTACTCAAAATATGTGCTTGCACATATTCTGTAAAAATATTTCAACCTCATTTTAAATGGATCCACCAATTTCAGTTGTCCAGTCGGAAAAGTTTGGTACAAAATGTATAAAAATAAAGACAAAAATTCACTAATGTCTAATGAAATATTAAGAAACATTTTCTATTTTCTTTTTGAAATGCCTCTTGCCCGAAGAGTAAGCACACAGTTTTTGTTGTTACTGATTTATAGGAAAGAGTATGTGAGAAGAAAAAAAAAAGGAAATTAAGTTGGAAGCCCCTCAAAAAAATAGCAACAAAGGTTTAGGGCTAAGAAATTAAACACGCAAGAAAGACAGAAATTTGTATTTCTGCCAGAATTTTTACCTAATTCCTCCTGTTTTAATGGAGCTATTTCTCTTCTCTTATGGTGTGAGACCTCACCTCATAAAAAAGTCCATCTGGGAACTGACGAAAACACTGAGCGCAGACGAAGCAGTTTTCATGATAGAGCTCCCCATTGCTGTTCACAATCCTCTCTGCAGGATCAAACCGAGTCTGGCAGCGTTCACACACTGCATTTGCAAGAGCATCAGACATATTACTGGAATAAAGACAAGAGTAAGAACATGAGCAATGTCACAGACAATCATATGAATATAATCATATCATCCAAGTTTCCCCAACATCTATAAACACAGTTCCGCCTCTTTAAACTCCCTTTTACATGAAAAAAAAAAAAAAAAAAAAAAAGACCAATGAGTCAATTCAGCACTGACATCAGTTAGAAATAATAGAATGAGCTCATATAGCAGACTTAACCTATTGCACGCTTTTGGCTGCTTCACCAGTCTTTTACCCCATTATGTGATCCTGCTAATAGCTCGTACCAGATATACACAATTTTAAGTAAGCCAGTAGTTCAAAGATCAGCAAACACAATGATCCTGACATCTTGGGATTTCTGGTCACAGGATATGCACCTCCGAGGATTTTCTGTGTGTAATAAGCACTGATATCCCACTGCAGCCTGCCCTTCACTGTAGGAATTAACAGGGCATTTCCCCCTCTACCCAGCAGTTTATGTGCACAAATGGAAAATAATTGCATACAATGTCTCTGTCTTCATGACAAATTAGTTGAAACTATCAAAGTGTTAAAAAGGTATGGGAAGAGAGAAGTCTGGCTGGCTGGCTTAGCAAATACATCAGATTCATTTCCTCAGAAAGTGAGGCTAAAAAAACCCCAAAACCACACACACAAATCATGTAGGACATTTCCCCCATCTATCCTAAAATGCAGAATGACCCTAACCTCTTTCACAAAATTTTCATGCTTGCCACCATGGTAATCTAAATTCTCTCCCTACTAACAGAATGCAGTTTTGAAATTGTATATCGCATGTCCAAACAGGGAGGGAATAATTATAAGGAATCTGTTTCTTGTTGCAGTGTGATTTTTTTTTAACCACCAGACTATCCAATAATACAAAAATTCAATATTATTACACATCTAGATATAGAAAAACTTTTATGCCTTCTGGGCACCTTCTGAATTCTATGATTGGAAAAATAGCAGTTTTATAGGTGGGAGTATAAAAAATTTCCAGCATCTTTAGAATCTCTGAAATATTTGTGTAGTAGTTTTCCACATAACGTGTATGTAAAATGAAAGATAGCTTGGTGTAAAAGTTGTTTTTTTCTTTCTTTTCATATTCAGAGCTACTTTGAACTGAATTTCCATTGTTAGTGTTACTTGTGTAACTTGACATGCTGCTTTCCACACCTCTTAGAGAACAGTAATTCAGTAAGCATGTTCCAGTAGCAGAAGATTCTCTTTCCTCTGGTCAGAGGCACTCCAACAAAAACACGCCACCATTTGTATTCCAGGGCTTCATGCTCTGAGTGCAACTAGACGAGCAGGCAGCAAAGCAGGCAGCAGCGCAGGCAGCAGCGCAGGCAGCAAGCAGCCTCATCCTCCTGAGGCAACAAAACCAGCCTGTGCTTCAGCTGGCTCAGCTGAGCCAAAGGTATCGCATCTGCAGCCTGGACAAATATCCTGTGCTGTGACCTGGAGTGACCACTCAGTTAAAATATACTTACTTTCTACCACTGCAATTCCAAGGCTGGCAAAGACCAAGGGAGCTGGTTAATAATTTCGAGAATGGAGTCTCATCCTCCTGAGGCAACAAAACCAGCCTGTGCTTCAGCTGGCTCAGCTGAGCCAAAGGTATCGCATCTGCAGCCTGGACAAATATCCTGTGCTGTGACCTGGAGTGACCACTCAGTTAAAATATACTTACTTTCTACCACTGCAATTCCAAGGCTGGCAAAGACCAAGGGAGCTGGTTAATAATTTCGAGAATGGAGTATCGATTTAGCAGAAATTTGTTACAATTTGTTTCCTTATTGCAGTATGAAGGAGCTTTAAAAGCAGACATGGACCAGAATTATGGACAAGCAGGAAATCCTGTCATTTCATAAACTAGATAACATAGGTTAAAAAAAACTTTTTTATCCTCACAGAGTACCAAAGAAATAGGTCAACACAAAAACACCAGTGTTTGCAGCAAAGCTGAGAGACCTAATAGGCTTAGTTTTCAATCACTACTCTTTCAGTTACATCATGCAAATCTGTACCAGGACTTGAAAATCACCACATCAAGTATTTTTTTCCCTCTTGAAAAAATTGATGCCTGATTTCCAAGACTTGAGCTAGCCAACAGCCACGATTAAGAAAGCCTCATGTTGTCAACAGTGAAAAAGCTCCTCTGGGTTACAGAAGAAAACGGGCAAAACAGTGTTCCAGCAAGTCTCATATTTTCCTACACATCAGCAAGTATTACACCCTACACACTAACAACAAAGCATGATCTATGGTTGTGTTTGTTGGGTTTTTTGCTTTATAAACAAGAAATCAACATTTTTAAAAAGTATTGATTTTTTTTTCTTTCTGCAAATGGACTTCAACAGCACTCTAGAGAAGGAACAGAACCCATCACTGCCATGACCAACTACCTGCTGGCTGAACTCTGCAAGAACAGAGCTGCCACATAAACAACGGCACTATGCAATGATTACAGCCTGCAATCTGCACAGCCATGCTCCTGTATGAAACACAGAGCAAGTTCACGAGTGTGATAGTTCACACCAAATGCTACTGAGTATATTTATCCTAGGAGAGATTCTGACACAAGTCCCATGGCTGTGCTGGCGAGAGAGAGAATGAACACGTAGGGACTCACTCATAAGAATAAGGCTTTCAGGAGCCTCTGTTCTGAAACCAGCATGTGAGGGCTGTCAAGACAGAGTAACTTCACAGTAAACCCTAACTTCTAAACAATATAAGATCTATCGGGGAACTGAAATTCCCAGTGAAGGTCAAATGCACTATTGTTCTGTGTTCTCACTGTCTTCCCTTAGCGTGAAGTACAACTTTGGATTACATTTTTAACTCTCAAAAAATTAATTTACCCCATTCATTTGCAAAAGCAAGAGAAAATCAGAAGTCCCAAGAGTTTATTTACTGTCCTACTGACACATGATGCAAAACATCTGACTCCTAGCTGTGTAATTTTGCATTTGACTTGCTGTGTCAATTGTAAGATACTTAGATCTGAGTATCCCATACAGGACAGTCCTCAATATGGAGTGCTTCTTGTTTGCTCACTGATTTATTTTCTTTTTCAATTCAGTAAAATACAGACTCTTCTTCTGTTCCAACAATAAGCTGGTGACAAAGACAGGAAAGGCTATTAAAACATGACCAGTTCAACATCCTGAAGTTATCCTGTCCTGCGGAAACCCAAAAAATACAGGCTCAAGCAATGCTTTTTCCAAACTTTCACCATTATGTGCCGTATCTTTAACAAATTATCTTTGTAAAAGTGCCTAATTTACAGAAATTAGTTATTTACCATTATAATTAGGTCTGGGTTTCTCCTGCTTTTGACTTCTCAGAATTTTTTACTATGAAGTATCAGCATGGGTCTCAAATGAAAAAAAAAAAAAAAAAAAAAGGAAAAGAGAAAAATTCCTTCTTTATAACAAGTGGTTCCTCCTTTATAAGAAGTGGAATTTAATTGGGAGACCCATTCCGTGCCACTGGTATGGGTGCTATAGAAAGATTTGAAAGCATTTTACCTTCTTATATCACTAAAGGCAATATGGATCTATCTTCCAAAACCAGTGGTTTCATATATATTTGGGCTAGCAAATGTCATATTTTTATATCATATTATCATATTCTCATCCAGACTCAGGAAATTTGGCCTGTATTTCTACAGAAAAAAAAATGGGTGGACTTAAATACCAAGAAAGCTGGCTAAAATGCTACAGCCTCTACACTGTTACCTCCTTTTTTAAAACATTTGTCCACAGGGATCTAGCACTAGTGACAGGTTGAGGGAGAAAAAGCAAATCTTAATACTTGCACAGCTAAGAGAGTAGACAGGAGCTCCAGCCTTTGCATTAGTAGAATCCAGTATCTTGAACATGGATGCAAGACAAAATGAACCAGACAACTAGACAACCCAGAGAACAGATGAATGGTCTGACTCTATCAGGTCCAAGAAAGGAACTGCAGGCACAAAGAGTGCTTCCGACAGAAAAGCCCAGTCAAAAAAATCAGTTTTCTTTTCTCGAAAGCTTTTTGTTTCTCATGTCAAAGAGAGTTCTCCTTCATCACAATGCTGAATGAAGAATTTCTTTAATACAGATATGACCAAAAACCTTACAGATACTACAAAAAGAAAGGAATGCAACATTTCAAGATAAAAGAGCCAAAGGCACTGCCCAAACTTCAGCAGACAGGCACTGTACCTATGCTAGGGAATCCTAGAAAGGTATTCTCTGCTCATTCTGGTCTACCAGTAGAAACTAGTGCATACAGAAAATATCATAATATGGTAACATTTACATAGAAATTTCTAGTATGTATACACACACAGATGCCTAGGATAGTGAAAAGTCAAAAACCTAGAAATCTGTCACCACTTGTATCATAGATGCCACCAGCAAAGATTGAAAATCAGAGCACTCCAGGAGAGGGGCTTCTTCCCATCCCCATAGCATGGTTGAGGATTTGTGGCTTGAAGTCCTTAATGCTGCCAAAGACAAAAAAAATTAAATTGCTGGGATAATACCAGACTTTATGATTCATTTCACAGACAATGACTAATGTAAAGAAAAGAGGAAGGGTATCAGTTCACTAACTTCTGCTGAAAAATAGCCCTCCACTACCCTTATCATTCTTCAAAAATCTCTTCATAGCAGTTGACTTTTATCTGGACAACTTTCCCAAACTGATTTAACTTCTTTAAGGTTATTATTAGACTTGTCATAAAATTTTGGAGGAAAAAAAAATCCCACTTGTTCAGTGTATGATTTGTCATGCATGTGATAAAACTATGTGTGTAGCTTAACATTTTCAGCATTTCTCCCTCTGCTTGCATTGAATTTTCAGTTCATTCCCTATTTAAATGTTTTTTCAGATGGCTAAATAAGAAATGAATAGTGTTTCTCTCAGCATATCTTCCTCAACCATGCAGCCCCCAATCTTTCAATGAAATAAATGAACACTTTTTGTTCCTCTTTACCACACAGGGATAACCAAAATTAGGGAAAACATACAAAGGCAACCTATGGTCACAATATGGAAAAAAATCTTTATGGCTCCTCATTTCTCCTTGGCATACCAGCAACAGCAATTTGCTATTAGTAGAAGCCAGGGTTTTAAAAAAAAATTCCACTCCTTCACACATTTTAGCTGGGAACAGAATACGATGTCCGTACGGTCGGCCTGCAGGGGAAGACACAATCTGGTAGACCTTTGAGACCAGCAGCAGCAATGGAAGTCTGTCACTATTCACACAAAAAAAAATCCTATGCCATGGGTACTTGGTAGTCCCTCTCAACGCAATGCAAGACTTAATTCCAGTAAACCATGACCAATTACTTAAAAAGACACACACATTTAGCAGTGTCCACTCAGCCCAGGGAAACATCAGCAATGTAAAGAAACATACAGGTTTTGAACAGATTATACATCTTATATAGGAAAACCACCCTTTCATTATCGAGATTTTATTACCACTTGACCCACAATGTCTATTTGATAATATCTTCTTACACAGATTTAATCTTTCTCTTCTTCACTTCCATTATCTCAAGGGAGTTAAATCATAGAATCATAGAATCACTTTGGTTGGAAAAGACCTTTAAGATCATTAAGTCCAACCTTTAAACTAACCCTGCCATCCTACCACTAAACCATGTCCCTAAATGTGTTGTTTGTTTACAGCACTGATAGAACAGTTCATTCCCAAATGTGTTCACCAATCATCACCAACTAGCTTTTGGATTACTCTCATTTGCCTGAAGGATAATAAACTATCAGGACCTATCGGGAGGGAGAAGCAAAAATTATCAGTAGCTCAAAAACTGTGGATGAAATACAAATAATTCAGGAGACAAAATTCCCAAACAGATTGTAATCTTCAGTACTGTCATCTGCTGAGTAAATCCAGAATACGTGGCTTGATGTTTACTTTGCTTCAAGAACTACAACATGAAAAATTTATCAATTTTACGTGATATTTTCCTCCTAAATCACTCCAGGAGCTGCAAAAAAATATTTCTTTTTAGCCTGCTTGGCCTTATTAAATACTCTGCCAGCACATAGTTTATATGCAGGCCTGGTTTGCCTCACTCTGTACATGCGTCACCACAGCAATACGTGCACAGCCTCTCTCCTTCAACACAGTGCAGGATCAGCCCCTGAGCATTCTCCTGCCTAGCAGCAGATCCCAATAGTCTTAGCTATGCTCGGCTTCAGAGAGAGCTCCCCACTCTTCTTAGACTTGCTAATGTGCCTAAGCCCGATGCAGTACATTTGGAGAACCATTACTGCCAGCAACGCTATGCCAGTGCTGCCCCGATCACCCCCTCTAGCTGCCTCATACAGCACACTTAATAGCATAGGTTTAAAAAGAGAGATCTCAGAGATAAGCATTTTCCAAACACCAAGCGCCAGCTCCCGAAATCCAGCTGACATAGAAGGCAAACGAGAACTAACCTTATTCTCCTGCAAAACCATACTAGTGTAGTGCTGAGTACTATAAACATGCTGTTTAGAAAAGGGCATTCCTTCTGCGTAGCGGATTAAGTACATCTACTTAAGAGAGAGTTTTAAACTCCAGTTTAAAATATCAAAATCAAGGCTTGAAAAATGTTGTGTTTACAAACTCAGAAAAATATATTGGAAATAATAATTGGAAATAATGGAGGAAAAAATATTTCCTGTCTTCAGTTCACAATCTGCTGTTTGTGTTCCACTGCTGCTTTTTCAATGCTTCGCTTTTCTCCCACCAGTCCCTTCTACACTTCTCACTCTTCCTGAACAGCATCCTCTCCACTCAAAGGCATCAAAATTTCTTTTACTACTGCTCCTTATGAAATTCTCATACACTCATGCCCGCAGCTTTGTGTCGGAAAAAAAGAAAAATTATCCACTAATAGCTATAGGCTAAAAGGAAAACAGTGGGAAAAGTAGGGCTCTGGTGACGGATCCACAGTTCAAACTGAGAAGCCAAACCAATTACTCAATCACAGGCAAGCATCACATCTATCTCCAGCTAAGAAAAGACTGAAATTCAAAACAACTAACTGCTAGAAAACAATCTCCTCTCCTGCATGCTCACTGCTCTCCCCAGTGACAGAGTTCAGGTCCCATATTGCTGCTGCAGCAGCTCACAGTTCTCCCAAAATGCAAGAAACCAAATTATATTTAATTCCTGTTAATTTCTCTCCCAGCCAAAATGAACTTCAATGAAACTTGAGAAGTAAAATAATAATAATAATCTGAAACACAGGAAAAGCAATTATCAAATCAAGCAGTGGAACTGTCTGGGCAGATTTAAGAAGCTTTGGTGGATGTATTCTAAATAATCTCAAGAAGCAGCTATACTCAAAGCTTCAATTTCTGCTGGACTGGAGTTATTTACAAAACCTAAAATCAACTAGCTTGCCATTAACAGTATAGGTGAAGAAATGGACAACTAAGCCCTTAAAAATCAAGTAACAATATAATTTTATGAGCATTTTGAAAAATTACTGCATTTCACCGTTTCTTTATTCCCACAGTGCCTAAATACTTCACCATTAAAAAGACTAACAGTAATGTTGGTTCTGAATAGTCTAGTACAGCGCTTCAAAACGGGAAAGGTTCTCCATTGTTGCTTTCCTGTTATTGTTAAAAACTGAAAGCTTCCTCATCAGGAAAGTCCTTTCCTTCGTAATCCACTTGGAAACGAAAATAAACAGACTTCATCCCCTCTGGCTGTGTGCAGACAATTCCTGCTTTAAATAAAACAGCCCCACCACCAAAACCCAACATCTATCAAATCCTGGAAAATGCTTCAACAATATCAATCCCTTCATCTCAGAGACATACCCATGTATCCCAGCTGCTGTATCTGTCCTGTTGCTCAGGAGTGACCCTGTGCCACTTAGCCGATCCTGCCGGCGTTGATACAGTTTGGAGGATGCCAGCCCCCGAAGTCTCAGGCCAGCCATGGCACCCAATACCACTGTGAAGGGGAATGCAGAGAGACAACTGGAGCGAACACTAGCGACACTGATATTCAATGAGTCACCTTCCTTTTGGGAGTTGCCTTTACATTTTAGAAGAGCTAAAGCAGAATGCATAGACCCCTGCTCGAGCATTGTTTCTTACAATTCATCTGCCATTCTGCTACAGTCTTAAAGATCAGACAACCTCTTTCCTGTATTCCCCTAGTAATTACCTATTTAAGCCAGCACACTAGGAGGGAGTCTACATCAACTCGTTATGTGTTAGACTTGCATAATGTATCTGTATAAATTTCCTAAGTGAGATTAAAAAAATAATCCTGACTCTTCACATAATTAATGCACTTAATTCAAGAAGACTTTCTGATCAAAGCAACAGAGAAATACAGAAAAGCAAAATAGATTACTATTACACTGAACACTTCACCGCAGATCCGTATCTGACCCTGGCATCTCTAAGGTGGTTCCCTGCAGGCTGCTGCATCACACAATGTCTTAAGCATACTGCAAACAACAGAACTGGTCCTTCCATTTGGATAAAGCATATTCCAAGAAACAAAACCATGAAGACTGTTGCTCTCCGGACACACTCCAGCCTGCAGAAGTGGCATGCAGCGGAGGGTCAGGAAGCAGAGAGAAGGAACATACTTGGCATTCCAGCCTCCAGAGCTCTCTGATGGGAACTGAACAGGGCCCTTACTAACACTCCCCCTCTCCACCCACCCCTTCGAGAGAGAAAGAGGCTCACACAGCACAAATGGCTTGGGCCAGGGTAGGGGGGTAGAAAAAGAGTAAAAATTTGAGAATACAGATGTAAGTTTTTAAGAGAACAAAGGGAAAGGAGTGCAGCATGTGAGCATCGGAGTCAGTGTCATTTGATCAGCATCGCCATGAAAAACATCTCAGGAGTCATTATTTTTTATTTTCTAAATTATATTTTAGTACCTTATAAAAAAATGAGGATTTTTGTAGCATGAGAGTGAAATATATTCCATGACTACAGCCTGGCAAGCTATAGAGGGAAAAAAAAATGAGAGAAGTAGAAGTGATGACTTCGTAAGTTCTGTGAGTGTTAAGCAGCAGAGATCCCTTCTGTCCTTTGAAGAAAACAGAAGGGTTTACTGGGACCCAGCAGAACAGGCACAAATAAAGAACATCATACTTTCAAAACCAGAAATCAGTAACCTCAAAATCTACAATTCACCCCACATTTCGCTGGGAGTTCCAGGCTCCTGCCCTCTGACAGCAATCTGCCACTTTCATCTCTTTCACATTGCATGTGTGCTTTATCCATTTCTACTTTATGATGTAAATGGAACTGAAGAAAAAAGTCCTCCATACTGGGTGATTTTGCTGACCTTTTAAATTTTAGAGCAATAAACCACTTTTTAAATGTAATATTAAATCACGTTTTTACTTCTAGCACAAAGCAACATATTAAATCACCGCAACATTAATCTCCTTTAAACTGAAGCAATCTGGCTAAAAATCTCCTCTCTCAACCACCTAAGCTTTTACCCTTCTGACTCATACAACATGATTTTATTGGTTTTCAAATAACCACTTTCCACAGAAAAGTATGACTCTCTCCTTCAAAAGGGAAGATGAGAGGATTGAAGGAAAAAAACAGCAAAACAATAACCATCCTGCCTTCCCATCCCTCAAAACAAGATCCCTCACTTGTTCCTTTCTTGCTGCCTTGCGCATGAAGAGTGAAGATGCATGGGTTTGGTTTTTTTCCCTCTTGACAGACTGCTTTTAAAAGACAGGGTCAATGCCAAAATCTTACAGCTGGTTACTTTTGCAGAGAAGAAAGCAGCTAGACTTCTTTTAGGCATTAACACGTAGTTCTCCTTAGAGAAGCATCCAGATGTTCCCAGAAAAGATTACTACAGACCTTCCAACAAGTTAAAATTTATCTACAGAGCCTCAGAGAGCAGATGTACATGAAAGATAGTAACGTTAAAACCACATTTGTCAACCTAGCAAAGTAGAAACGGCTGCTTATAACTCAGGGAGATGAGACATCTCTTAGTTTGATGCAGGTACTTTCTAGTCAGCGCCAATAACCCTTCTTAATACTATCAACCTCTATATTCCCTCTGCCTCCTCCAAACCATTTTGCTTGCAATTGCTTCATAAAATGGAGCACATGCACAGCAGGAGCTCTCTACTAAATTAAAAAGCATCTAGTCAAAAGTTAGGATATTCGAAAATAATATACTCTAATTTCTTACCTCAACTGGATTAGGAACAATCAATAAGCGTATCTGTAAATGCAGCTGTTCTTCTTTTGTTGACTGCAGGAAGTACATAGGCGTATCCAGATCCCAATTAGACCAAATACAGTGATAAGAAAAATTTCTTACAAAAATAATTATGCCCTGAAACATGCATTTAGGAAACATTTTTCCTTAGGCTTTGTATTTTATGCCCTGAAACATGCATTTAGGAAACATTTTCCTTGGGCTTTGTATTAGATTAATTTCTAAAAGCAATATAAAACAGCACAGGATTTTTTTACCTTTATGTTTTCTAATCAATACCACAACAGTAAAGTCTTAAAAGAAATTATCTTCAATTTTGGTTTATTTTCTACTTTGGGCATTTGACAATGTTCATTGGTCATTCACTGATCCTCTTTCTTAGGAATAAGTCCATCACAAACAACAAAGAAAACGGGGCAAAACAGAGTAGCAAAAAACCAACCACCAAACCACCCCCCTCAAAAGCCAACAATCCTTGAAAAGGCAAAAGTCAAAATGGAGGAATGGACTAAACACATCGAGTATGAATTATAGAAGCAGTCCTCACTTATTTATTGGTAAGGAAGTACCATAGTATACTTCTAAAGGCATCAAAAATCACATAAATTTTATTTCTCAACACTACAAAATACAGAAAAAATAGTATGTTTCTAAGCAGCCTTTATCTAACACTTTATCTCTTATACCGAGTTTATTTCCAAATGTAGTTAAACAACATGTAACTTAACAAAAGTAAAATACATATAATTTTCTTTTAACTTCTTTCTGTCTTATTACCTTTGGGTCTAAGTTGGAACAAATATAATCCAAGAAAGGGTGATTTTTTTTTAAAGTTAACAGCATCCTTTACACCACAGACTGCTCTTGGAATTGGGGACTATAACGGCCACTTTAGTCAAGACACAGAGAAATAAAATAGCTCAGCCAAGACATGTCAGTCATAATTAGTATTTGCAAATGCCAATGATCTACTTGTCAGTTTTCTCTAACAAAACACAAACATTAGATTGTAACAATGTAACTCATTATAAGTGTAATATTTGAAATTCATTTGCTAAATAGTCACCTATTTTTAATAATTTTCTACTATGATTACATAGAACTGCACATCTTTCTTTGTATTTGCTGGAATTATATTTTTCCCTAATGCTAAAAATCAGTAAATCAAATTACTGCAGCTATTTAAATTCAGGAGACACCCTCTGCAGCTAAATGGGACAAAACACTTATAAATGAAAATGGAGTTACTTTTCATCTATCTTAATTACTAATAATGCATCAGTAATCACAGTACCTAGAAGTGAGTCCTTTTGTGTTTCTATTTGACAAAAAAGGTGAGTGAAAAAGAATAATGTGTCAGCACTTCATGTTCTCCAGTCTTCCTCACTTTAACACACCATAACACAAGAAAATCATTCTCTTCCCTGTGTCAACAGTTTCAAGACCAAAGGCACATTTATGTCATGTTCCTGGCTCTGGAAAGTTCCCATTTATTGATATTGTGGGGATGCTCCAGCTGTGAAACAGTTCATCTCCTTCCGGAACCCTGAAAACCCCGAATCTCAAAAGCTGGAGAACATTTGATAAGATAATGTCAACAGATTTTAAGTACCACATAACAATCATCGAACAACACCTGGCCACAGTTCAGTAGGGTGACCTGTAGGTGGATCTAAGGAAGTATATTCTCCATGCTGAACTCTTTCTAGTGATTTAGGAGTTTGTCTTAGCCTGAAAACAACACTAAACACATTGCTTCTCAAATAGCATCAGTCCCGCAAGGTGCTGAGCAGTGCAACATTTCACAGACACCAAAAAGTACAGGTTTTGTTTTGCTCGGAAACTGCTACCCTAAATGGATTATACTATTACCGAGGAAAAAGTTATAAACTGATAGAACAGTTAATCATTCTGTCCTATGAATAACAGCAGACAGAAATTTAGAAATTTTCATAGCTGACAAACTTTCCAGGACAAACATTTCTGACAAAGTTAAATAACACTTGCATTCACTTTTCAAAAGCTAAAGCCTATGCCTGCTCATTTTAACACGCCTCGGAAATACATCTGAGGAAAAGGAGACAGAAATCCTGCATTAGTTTGAAGAACTACACACTCAGCAGTGCCTCAACTACTTTGGAACTCTCCACCAAGCCTCGCGCTTCACATCAGAGCTTCGCACTGAATACAGTGCTGTACCTTAACAGGCAGGTTTCTGAGGAAGCATGGAGAGAAGACAACAAAGATTACTGTCTGCAGGCATTTCCCACTGTCCTCTGCAGCTGAGTGATTTCACCTGAGGTAAACATGTCATTCTAAACAGTACTACACCACAATTCTATAAAAATAAAATCAGCTGGGTTCATACAGCCACAGTTCTTCCCATCAGTCTTGTCCTCATTTAGTAGCTGCATGGGTACCTGTGACCTGTAAACATTTAAGGCTCTTTGAGTCTTCCTCTAGTTATAAGGAAATGAATGTAAACTTGTAAACACACACCTATTTCACATGGCAGAAGAACAAAAAAGGGACCATTAAGATAGAAAAGACAAAGTAATCTAAAGACAGGGGGCAAAAAACTGGAGTGTTTTGAGCATATAGAACCACCCATCAATTTGTCATCACAGAAAGCAAAAATAACTCACCCAAATCACAGATGCAGCTACAACAGTTATTCAGCATGTTCTTATACCTAACCCACAAAACATGATC